TGCCACGTCCAAAGATCCAGGACCAAAGTGCTAACAGCACTCTCCAAATGCTTCTTGAACACTGACAGACTTGGGGCATTGACCACCTGTCCAGGATGTTCCACTGYGTGACCACCCACAACCCTTGTGGTAAGGAAATGCTTCCTTGTGTCCCATCTGAACCTTCCCTGTTTCTACTCTGAATCATTCCAATGTGTCCTGTCCCTGGATGCCAGGGAGGACAGCTCAGCACCTCTGTGCCCTTTCCCTCCTCATGAAGCTGCAGAGAGAAGTGAGACCAACCCCCAGCATCCTTTTCTTCAAAGTGGACAAGCCCAAAGTCCTCAGCTGCTCCTCACAGGAGGTTCCAGCTCTGTTTCCTACCTCAGGATGCATTGAGGAACCTTCCCATCCTTTCCACCTACAGAACCCAGCAGGGCCCATGTTGAGGCCACCCCAAGGCTGGGCCCAGTGGGATCATCCTCGCTCTGGACCCGCTGTGCCRTGCTCGGTGCTCTGGGATGGGGTTTGTCCGGGCACTGCTGACCCACACTGAGTCCAGCACCAGCCAGCCCCACATCCCTCTCTGAGCTGCCCAGCCTCTGCTCTCCCACTTTATCCCTGGCATTGCTCCATCCCGGGTGCAGAATCCAGTATTTGGACTTGATAAATTTGACCCCATTAATCACTGCTCAGTGCTCCAGTTGATCTAGATCCCTCTGCTAGGCCTCTTGTCCTTAAAGAATCCACAGCACCATCCAGTCTGGATCACCAGCAAACTTGTTACTGGTGCATTCACCTCCAGCAYCCAGATCATTGATAAATACAATGAGCTGAATTGACACTGTAACTGAATGATGAGGTACAGTTTAGTTTGTTTGTGTCTGGCAATGTTTTTCTTCACTTTTTCTCTCATTTTCCCAAAGAAACTACTTGAAATATTTTCCATACCTGCTACTAACAGTGACTGCTCTATCCCAAAATAAGAACAAAGTTACACTTCTAAACATTTATTCTATACGAAGTGTAAATATACATTTTTTTGGTAATTTTCAGTGTTTTTAGTAATCCTGGACACTCCTGAAAAAGAAAGCCAAACATGTCCTGCGCTGAATCCAGAGCATTCTCAGGGATTCTGCCCCTCTGCTCCACTCTGCTGACACCCACCCRGAGCATCCAGCTCTGGGGTCCCCAACATAAGGCAGCTCCTGCTGGAGCGAGTGCAGAGGAGCCCATGAAGATRATCAGAGGGATGCAGCACCTCTGCTGCAAGGACAGACTAACAGAGATGGGATTGTCCAGCCTGGAGAAGAGAAAGCTCTGGAAGACCTTGGAACTCCTTCCAGGACCTGAACAAGAAAGCTGGAGAGGCATTTATTACAAGGGCAGGTAGGATGGCGGGGAATGGGTTTAATCTGAAAGAGGGTGAGTTCAGCTAGACACAGAGAAGAAATGTTTTATGTTGAAGTTGGTGAGTCACTGGAACAGGTGGTGAGAGGCTGTGATGAAAAAAACACCAAACCCCAAAGGGATAGCAAAAATCAGGCAGACTTGATAAAGCTGGGAAATTAATCCAAGGAAAYAACTTCCTCCTTTTCTCAAGTTTCTGCGATCTGGTGCTTGAGAAAAATCYTAAGCCTTCAAATTTGAACATAAGCATTACCTTCTGTTTTGGCTTCGCAAGAGAAACTTAGACTCTGAAAAGTAAAGCAATGGTCTTGGGTTGATTTTGTGCCAATCCTGTATTCCTATATTCCATCAGCTTGTATGCCCAAAAGGTGTCTGTGCCTTTAAATGTAACCCAGAAGAAGGGGTAGGGGCGACTGGGAAGGCATCACAGGCAGTTAAAAGCCGGGGCTGCTGCAGGCTTTTGGAGCTCAGCTCGGCGCTGCGGGAGTCCTGCTCACTGTGTGCAGGGGAGTTACATTGTTGCCGGTTGGTTAGCTCTGTTAACTTGGGCAAACAGCTCTCCCTGGACTGTTATCCCTTCTGTGAATCCTGTGATTTTCTGGAGCGGATCGGCAGRCCYGCRGTCCGAGARCCAGGAGGCAAGTGCCRACCAGCCRGGSGCTGGCAGGGACAAGTGGTGCRGCTCYGTCTCATCCTGGACTCTGGAAGAAGCCAAGCCAGTGATAGAAAAGCACACYGAGCCCTCTGTTTAATCCACAATGAGGAGAGAAGTGCCACTGGGTTGCCGCTGTTGCCTGAGCAGCCATGTGGATTTTGTTTCTTCTTCTTTTCCYAGGACAAGAGCCACGCCATCTTTCTCCACATCACATGGCTGAGTGGCTGTGGGGGAAGGGCACGGCCTGTGTTCCTGGATTTTTAAATATTTAGCGATTTTCTTTTAATCTGTGTCCTGCGGGCAGCTTGTTTTGTTAAAAAACTATTTTTCTCTACACTTTTGCCCAAACATCTATTTCATATTGGTTGGAAAAAAATTAYCAACTTTTTCACTTCAGAGGAAACATTTACCTTGTGACGTTTTCTCTGAAAACATTGTCTCAAACCAAGACAGCAAGTAGTAAGRCAAAGTGTAAATCAGTTTAGATTAGTAAATACTATACAGTTGTATTTTGACTACCTTTACTAGGGCATTAGAGAAAAAAAGGGCTTTTTAAAATCTGTTTCTAAAAGGTTGCAATGATTTAACAGATTTTTACTTGTTTGATCCTCATAACTTCTATGACAGCAAAAGACCTCCTCAAGAGGTCTTTTTAATGTCTATTTTAAAATGTCATCAATTTCATATGACTRTCTGCTTCTCTCAGAAAAAGTCTTACTCAACAGCTTCCTCTTCAGCCCTAAAAGGAGCATCACAGAAGAGAAATCCCAAAAAAACTTTTGTGAGTCAGTGGAAGCAACTTGGTTAAGAGACCATTCTCGATGATCCTCCCAGGTGTCCCAAGTGCTTTTCCTCACTGCTGTGGCTCTGCAGGAGCAGCTCTTSCTGCCCAGGCCCTGCTGCTCTCAGAGCTCAGGCAAAGTCTAAGTTCAGAGCTGATATTCTGATGGGGAGGTCYCTGAGCTGCCTCTCTGCCCCTGTGTTCATGACTTGTGGTGCTGTGGATCTGGAGGCACTTCAAGAAAGTATTTCCTTTACCACTGTTAAAATTAAATTAACTGATTGCTTTCTCACAGCTGGCTGGGTGCAGAAGGAGACTTCCACACTTGMCTAAAACAGTATTTTTCACAGTATTTTTCCACCAGGACCACAAAATACTTCCTGATGATTTGTTTGCTTCTATTCRGGAGAAACACAGAATTACACTCAGAGTAAAAACAGTTTCAGGCTTGGACTATTTCTTTGAAGGCACTGGCCCCTTTCAGTTGAAGATGATCAAACCAAATACTGAGTTTTGCACTCTGGTCAATCCTATGAGAAAAGCTGATGCTGATTCTGACAATWGCTAAAGAAACATGGCCAGTTTCAATCTACAGGAACTGCCAGTTCTATCCCAGCATGTGTGTAGTCCTGTAACAGCCTTTCTCTGAACTTTATTTTTTGATGTTTGCCAAGATGCAGCCTGCATGRAAACATGCAATCTTAAGGGTTTCAATTATCACAGTTTGATGTGACAGTAATTAACCATTGGAAATTAGCATACCTTTGACTCAYATGAAGAACTCAGATTTCTTCACTACAAATACAAAAACTACARTTGTTGGGAGTCACCGTAGCTGCATCTGTTTGGACACCACAACTGCTTGATGGTCACTGAGCACATGGAAACTTTTCCCCAGACCTCTGGGGGTTGCTGGAGGAGCTCTAAATAGCAGCGTCACACAGATGTATGAGCAGTGATATTATTTTTACCCCAGTAAATAKCTGCCCTTTGTGTCTCAGACTGCTGCCTTTTCTAACAAAAGTCTGGTTTTAATTTCTGATTACTTATATGTCTTTCTATCAGTCATTCCAACTCTTCTAAGTCTCAGCACTGCACAAGTAAGCTGGGTTTAAAATATGAGGGTAGTGCACATGTACACAGCAACAATTAATAGTGCTACATCTATAAATCATTTACAGCAGAAASTAATAAAATCACTTTTATTAAACCAGTTTATTACAACCATTATGTTACAAAAATAATTTCATAATAATGTTAAATATTAAATACAAAAGTAGAATCGTTGTACTGYGCTCTTAAAATAACATTTTTTGTGTTTATATATGTTTCTATCAAAAGCAGCTAACCCAGATCTGTTAAAGAYTGTGGGTTTGCCCTTACCAACTATGTTTAGTTCCTCTTGACCTGAAGACATGTGGAAAGGAAATTGTATGTTAAGGAATTTAACTTCATCTAGGCAAGACAGAAAACAGTGAGAGCTTCCATGCTTCTTAAGAAGGAAACCAGTACAGGCCTCAATCCATTTTAAGCAAAACAATTACTGTTTTTAAAAAACAAAACCAAACACCAGTAACTGTTTGGAAGAGTGCAGTGGCYGAGAACTTCTCACTTGTCTTCAATATCTGCTATCATAGCCTCAACTGCATTCCAGTCCAGCTTGCTGAGGATGCTCCCTGTGCTTTCAGAAACACTGTCAGTGTTGATACTGCCAAGGGGAGAGAAACTCATTCCAGGCAGTGCAGAGACCTGTTGGGGGAAAAGAAGATGAGCGGATCCTTGTACATCATTCATGGACAGCGGAAATGATCCCACTCATTTAAAACATGCCCAAATCAAGTTACTTGTCTGATTATTCCACAACAAATGCAATCTGCTTTCCTCTTTATGCCCTCCCACTGGTGTCTGTTGCCTGGACAGGCAGTGTGACATTAAATTGTGTGACTGTAYAGTTTTAAAAAGAACATTCAGTTTCAAGGCTCACAGGAATGACTTTGCTTGTAAAGAAAAAACRTAGCTCTGCTGAAGCCCCATCATTTGTGTCCCTCTGCATCTGTCTCACCCACATAGGTAGATGCAGAGGGATAGATGCAGAACCACACTTTTAATAAAGCAGGTGTAAATAACATGTCAATTGGAAAGTGTCAAATAGTTTATAGAATAAGCAGATATTCTACCTGAAACATGGAGTCACGAGTATCCTGAAGTATTCTTTGGATGTCATCAGGCACASTCCAAGGACTCACCACATCTCGATCGGAGTCAAGATCAACACCTTCTGTCTGAACTGCAGTGGCCACTTGTAGAGGCTTTTGTGCTGAACTTCTGCTGCCTCTGCACTCAGCAGCTGAGGAGAAAACAGGCCAGCACTGTAACACTTCTCACTTTTTGTCTCAGTCTCTTGAAACTCCTTCAAGAACAGAAGCTCYAAGTTCTAAGAACTGAAGCCGTGTGTAAATCCTTGTGAAAGCAGCAAGCCCTGTTATCGAGAAGTGCTGTGGGGTTATGGTGAGAAAAGGCTGCTGGTCCCTTCCAGCCTCCTGACCCTAACTGTCCCCGGGGCAGGGCACAAAGTGCAACAGGACTACTCATGGTGCCTACAGCATCCAGGTTCTGTGGTGCAGGCTCCCAAAAAAATCATGGTGCTTCATTATTTGGCAGAGGATTAAACTAAATAAATCCTGTATCTCTGCCTCTTTAGAAGACATGGAACTTAAATGAAACCCTTAGCAGTGATGTGATAGCCTGGAAAAACAGATACAAGAAGGTGCCAGGAAATCAGAGAAAGATCAACCTGAATATAGAGTTGGAAAAGAAAACATATGGAAAGGAGAAAAATTACTTTTCCACATGAGTAGAGATGATTCGGGGAAAGTGTCTTTGCTTATTAATGCTTATTATTAAAAGTGGTTTTTATTTTTTTTTTAATTTTGCTTAAAATGCTTATTATTGCTTCTCTCAACTTCTTGCACTGCCAACTCACATACAYTGACATTTGAACATCCAAATTATGCCAATAATATAATTACTACATACGACAGAATGGAATAAAGTCGCAGTATTTCCCAAGTCTCAGACTGATACTCTCCTCATTCTTTGTCTGAGCTGCTTTTAACAAGTACTATAGCTGTTAAAAAATTTCATTAGGAGCAATGTTTTGCAGTTCCAGACCTACAGAGAAAGGCATRGGGAAAAGTACCCCTCAAATCCAAAGGGGTTTTTTTTTGGCTAAGCTTAGTCATAAATTTTTCCAAGCCAACATGGAAAAATAGATACTGTGCAGAAGGGTAACAAAGACAATTCCTGCTTCAAAGAYCTGGGAGAGTAAGCAGCATGCAGAGGTAAGGGAGAGGCACAATTCTTTTGTACTGGTCTGCTAATTAACTTTGTGAGTTTGAACTGAAATGTAAGACTCCAAGCCTTTGCTCYTTGTGATTTGTGTTTGAGGAATTCACCAAAACCTAGCACACTTATTTCAGTAATCTTGAAACTGTCACCTGACTAAAACTGTTCATAAAGTAAACAGTTTAATCAGAGGTGACTAAAGTACCTCACTAGTTTCTAATTAAAAGGATTTTTATGTGGGAAAAAAACAATGAGTTTTATTTTTCCTAAACAAATGCCGTATCTATATCTTATCTCCCCCCTGCATGATGCAGCACTATGTCATTGCTCTGTGTAACTTACAGGGTCTGGATTTAACAAGACACTTCGTAGCATTTCTCAGTCTTCCTCTGGGGGCACTTTTCTGAAGGAACATACAGGCATTTCCTGGAAAGACAAAGTAAGGATTTCCTTTTTAAAATGCAGATAAAATATACTCAAACAATGCTTACAAATTTTCATCTATGAGTTTCCAGCCTGGCTTACACAGTACTCTAGCTATGGTAATTGAAGCTACTTTGGATTTAAAGGGAAGTGATAAGGAAAGGTAACTCTCATCATTTAGGAGGTCAGAGGCAGCACAGTGGGAAAAGACTCAGGACAGGAAACATCCAGGATTATAAACCTGAATTTTTACACAGGTATCCCTCCTAAAACTCCAGCAGTAACTTGAAATCATCTTCAGTATATGCCCTTGTAAAAAAACTTCCATTCTTACCCCTGGACTGTGTTAAACCAAGAACTGGAGTGAAACGTTGTACTTTTGGACCAAAGCCAGGTTTGCCAGCAATTCTGCTCCTTTCTGCCAGAACAGGACTGTTCAGATGCCCTCTGCAACAAGACAAAGCAGAAAACCAACACAACAACAAAGCTTAAATATTTAACTACTGTGCACCAGGTACTATTGCTCCACACAACTTAGATCTGACAGAGCACATTCAGAAGGGTCATAAAAGCCAGAGAAATCACATTCAGCCAATTTGGCTGAGGATCAGCATCACACACTGCTTGTGGGGCCAGTGAGCCTCACCAGAATCAGAGCTGCCAGCAAGCACACAGAAAACACACCAAAGTGCCTTTACAAAGAGCCAGCTTAGTTCCAACAAACTTATTAGTTAGGAATTCCTGCCACTCCTGCTCCTCAGCAAGTCTGATTCTGGCTGGGCTGATGCACTTAAACCTCCCTTGGACACCACCAGCAGGTTCTGTACAGCACTGACTACACTTAGTGGAATGCCGTATACTGGAACTGCACCTAAAAAAATTCTGTACTGAAAAAAAGAAGCAAAAATATGTAAATTTGGAAATTACAGGATTACCTGAAGTACACAGTTCCCCCTATTATTCTGAAAAGCATAACATTTTATATATATATGAGAAAAACTAAAATGCAATATACGCCAGTATTACATGTGGCATTAATGCCAACAAATTGAATAAATATATCAATTTATAATACTCAGATACCCTCACCTCCTCAAAAAGCAATAAGTGCAAAAGGAAGAACAAGTAAAACTCTAAATAATGAAAAAAAAGAGCAAGCACGAGAACAAATCTAGAGTTTGCACAGCAGGATTTTTATTTGCTTCTTCCTTGTTGCTAGATGCTCTTGAGATCTCTACTGCTGGCTATAATCCAGTGGAATTCACAGAACCATTAAGGTTGCAAAGAACCTCCAAGATGGTAAGGTCGAATCTTTGATGGGATCAGCACCCTGTCAAYCAGACCCTGGTACCAAGTGCCATAGRTGGTGGCTCCACCACCTCCCTGGGCAGGCAGTGCCAATGTTTAACMACCCCTTCTGAAAAGGAATTGATGTTGTGTGGGATGGCTTGGGACCCTGATTACAGCTGGAGTCTGGTTTATTCCATCCTCCAAAAGGCRTTTTTAAGGCTCCCTCCAAGAATTGCAGTACTGGTGTAACAAGGCTGGAACAGGGACTCCCGAGTCCTCTGATCCAGACAAATTGTATCTTTGATTCTGCCAGCACAGGAAGTTTCACCCAGACTAATCCTGTCTCAACTTGCTACAAAATTTGAAGAGTGGTGAAGACACGAGTAGATCAGAGCAGGTTTAATGCTCAGAGTGGTACCCTGCACTGGGTGCCACATTCCTCCTCCGGTACACTTGAGGTGATTCTGCGCTGGACAGCRTTCTGTAGTCGCTTGCTGGTGATGCCACTGTTTCAGACAACATTTCATTCATCAGGGAAAGTGCCTGGGATACTCTTATCCTGTGATGCTCAGACAACAGGGCTCTGTGGAGAAATAATATCACACATTACCTCATGCTGTCACTCATTTCACCACAGCTGGGTTGCAAGTCTTGTTAGGCTACATGAAGAACATCTTTTTGTCATTTCACAGAAGATGTACCAAGACTTTTAAGATCATTAGCAAAAAGTAAGAACATTTCTTACCAATGGGTTTGACAGAATGAATGAGGAAATGTTTGGGAAAGAAAAGAAACAATGATATTTGGAAAATGACAAATATAGCCAAAGGATGAAACATGTTCAGAGTTTTCCTAAATGGTAAAGTAAACATGAATTATTTCTTTTGGCTAATATCTGAAGTTTCACARGCAATACAGTTGAAACTATCTCTACCTCTTTCTCAGGACTGGAAAAACTAATATATAAAGAAGGATATCCCAATTATATTTACAGAAACTTACCTGTCTCTTTCTTCTTTTTTCTTCTGGAAGATTCTAATATCCTTTGAAGTAGGATTATGATGCTGTATGAGAAAGTATCAAAATAATTAACTAATTACGTACTTGGTCTCATTCCAGTCTCTCATTCTCAAAATGTACTTAATTAAAAGTTAGTGTTTAAGACACCCTTCAGAAAAAAAAAATATGAAAGCATATGGCCCGACCAGGAAATTTAGGTTGTCTCTAAAACCTTCCASTCTCTAAAAACATACTGAAATCTCCCAGTCACATCTTCCATACCTCATATGCTTAAAATATTAATGTTGCTGAGGAGATGTCCCCATGGTCAAGCTCAAAGTTCCTAAACTTCATTTTCCTAAAAATGAGTGATATTCCCAAAAACTAATTTAAAAAACAGGGCAAGGTTGCACTTTGACCTGTGTGTGCTAGAGTACAATTTGAATTCTTTAATTCTTTGTTCTTAAAAAAAAACCCAAATAAACCCAAAACCAAAMCATTCAMTGAAAGCTGAGAATCCCCCCACTAATTATTTYAGGACAAAAGTCTGTAGCAAATGCATCAAGCGTATATTTATGTGTTGACAACACAAGAATGGAGGACTCGTTTTTCTTGAATCATTTCTATCCATACATGTGCAGAAGAGCAGCCCTGTTAAGTTTTGAAAGGTTGTTYAAAACCAGGGGAAATACTTTATTTCACACGGAAGAGCTCTGTTACTCTTTCTGATAGCAAATACAATTGAATTATTTTGTAACAGGGCACATGTGTATGCTATATATTTGCTGCACAGGAGTTACAACCAATAGAGCTTCAGCCTGCAAGTATTTACAACATATTTTGAATTCAACCAGGTAAAAATAAAGGGATATATTTGCTGTTGTTAGGTCTCATCTCCTGCAACACCGGGGTAGGGTCTTTTTAGGTCCTGAAGGTATTCAGATGGCAAATGCATATTTTGAGAGTTAATACTGATTGGAAATTTTCTTCTGAACTTCTTCTGGTTTTTATTTTCCATTRTTTCCAGCACAGACAAGATGGATCAGGCCATAAACGTGTTTTTATTAATTAAATTTTAAACCTAAAAAGTTCTGGGAGGTGACTGCTTGTTCACTAAAACCAGACTTCAACAGAAAAATTTCATAGGGTTCCTTGACATATATGACATATTTCAGGCATCTCTGCTGCCCCTTTGCAATTTCACACACCTCTGTGTGGGTGAATGACAGTGATGGCTGCCCTCAGTATCCTGTCATTCACTAAAGGATGCTGACATCTGAACTCTGCTTTTTAAATTCACTGGGGGTGTTTGGGAGGTGCATGGGAAGATGAAACAAGATGTAAACACATCTTAACAACTGCTGCTATCACTCCGTGAAAAAACACTTTTTCATCAGTGAATGTTACAGATTTATCCATTACAGGCTATACTGTGTAATTGCCATCYGCAGCCAATGGTGACCACAGAAACCTGTGAAGAGCACTGGTGTATCCGATTATCTGACACAACTGGCCAGTTCCAATAAAATAAATTACACACGTAAAAAGCCAATATTAAAATAGGGGGAAAAAAMCACTGTCAGCCTTTATATTATCAAACCGGAATAATCGTCACCTGTGCAACAAGTAACAGTTACTATTCAAGACTCCCATTGTTCTTACCCTATGCTTCCTCAGGTTGAAAGGATTACGTTCYTTTTGTCTTTGTTCATCCAGTTTCTGCATATATTCTTTCATTCTTTCCTTTTGCTTTCTTTTCATCCATGTTTGTATCTCTTTTCTCTCCTTTTCTGTTCTTTGGGAATGCCCAGAAGCAGAATCAAGAACCCTGAGAGCAGATATAAACAGGAAATAATCTAGCACATCCTGAAAATTRCAAACAATGGTAACCACATTAAATAATAAAAATACTGAAAACCCTTTAAAATCCTGACACAGCTGGAAGTGTAAGTAATCAACAAGAAGGGAAATCTTCCTCTGCAAAATTTTACCACATAAAATCCTGGCAAACAAGCAATTCCCAAGACATCTGATACAACTTTTCTTCTAGCTGTCAACTACATTCAGATAAGAGAACTAGAACYTAAACTGGTGGAAACTATGGCACCAATGCAACAGACTGGTGTCCTGAACAGCTGTATTTTTGTTCCTGTCAGCAACTGATATCACMAACAGGGGTAGGAAACAGATGTCACTTTRACCTCTCTCAGGCAAGAATACAGCTGATTTTATAACTGACAGTCAAGAAGGTGTAAAAATCTCCAGCAGGGAGGGAAGCCTGACAAGCTGGAAACTGGGGCTGGAAGTTTCTGAGGCTGCTGTGCCACTGGAAAAGAAATTCCAGTTCTATCTTTGAGAACTGCTTTAGAAGACCTGAAGGTCTGAACTGAATCTGCTGAACAGAAAAATTCTGCTCCAGCCTACACCTAGCAGTAGAAGGAACAAGCAAGTAGGAAGGAAAGAATTTCAAAACCAGAGTACTAGAAAACCATTAGTGCATTAGCCGATAATGGACAGTAAATTTGTGGCTATCAGAAGTTCTAATACTAGTCGCATCCAACCACACAATTGCTTCCATTGTTAACAGAGTGCGAACTATGAGAATAACCAMAGTTAGAATGATTTAACCAACACACAATAAAAAACCAGCCAGGGTATTACCTAAAGGTTTTCTTAGCCCGTGTTTTTGCAAAGTCCAGCTCCAACAGAGAGATGTCACTTTCAACCACACGGTCATTCACAGCATCTGTAACATCACTCGGACCAGTAATTTGCAGGGGATCTTCTAAAGAGCTTGATGTTAGGTAGGGGAAAAATGCCATTACTAATTAAATGTAGAACATTCCTGTAAGAGCAACAGGCTAAAGCCCTGTCTTTTATAATGAAAACAAGAATATCCAGGTTGTTTTACATAAAGCCTTTGGACTGAATTTTCTTTCCCTACATCTCTACTGGGTTAGTACACTGGAGTCAACTCTCAACAAGACAGAAGAAGCAAGACCTGGCTGACATCAGAGGGACAATCCAGAGCTGAAATACTTAAGCTCCAGTGGGCTGTGTGAACAGGGCTGGCCCACAGCAGGGTGAGCCTGGCAGTCAGAAGCACCCCACTGGGGTTTCTAATGATACACATGAAGAGAGAAGGTTGTGAGGTGCTACCACTTTCAAGCGCCCCATATCTCAATAACCTTCTGAGCAAGAGCCTGTATGAGTGAGAGCATAGTTTCATCTAAATTCTCCCCATTTCTTTCCTCTCTTTTAATCAGTTGCTCCCGGTAAAATACAAATCTCATCGTTTAGGACCACAAGCTACCATTATCTGCTAAAGTTTATTGCCTCACACCCATACTTCATCTTAGGTAATCTCCACCTAATCTTCTTCAGTCACAACAACCAGTTCCACTCAAAATACTTGCAGAGTAGGATAAACCATTCAGTTTACTGCTATGATTCAAGCAAAACAATAAAGAATGGGTAATGGAGAAGAATGACTAGAAGAAAGGGATGCCAGATACTCTTTTCTACTGGATTCAGAAGACTAACAGCAGCCAAAAGTAAAAATRCAAATGTCAGACCATTTTATTTCATCCATAGGCTCTTCCCAATTTTGAAGTCKTCGGAGTGTCGCTTTATACTTTTCATATGGCAACACTTTAAAAACCTTCTGGTGATAGTTGGCTTTGTAGACAACTGCCAGCAGCAGTTGCATTTACTTTGCTGAAAAAGTGGTTTGCACATAGGAGAAATAATAAATTCACACAGACAAGAGCACCATCAACACTAACAGCTCCCTTACTTGTAACTAGAAACTAACTTTGAACACTTCAGCAGCTTTTGCATTAAGTTAATCTAACAGGCACTATCAACATCAGAGTAAATGGCTTTTATTCGGTTGGAAAATAAATGTCTCAATTTTTATAAAGTGATGATTCCACACTGACAGTCACCTTTTGAGTAAACTTTCAACAACTAATCTCAAAATACATACCCAGCACATAGATCTCCGCATATACGAGAGCCTGAAACAGAAACAATCCTTGTTAATAACATCCTTGCACTTGTACACAAACTAATAATAAAAACATTAAACAGACTGTGGGATAAAGTATAGAAAAAAATCAACCTCAACATGTTGACATTAAAACAAATTCATATTGTACATAAGCTTAACAGCCTGTGAGACAACATGTCAYTGACTGCCAGGTTAGCACAGAGACTCCAGAGAGCATTAATTAACAGTTCTCTGGCTTTTGTGGATGGTTTTGCTAGGAAAATATCATCACTCTTGACAGCTTTCTGCCATGACCAACTAACTGGAAAATATCTGTTCCAATTAATTATACAGTGTTTCTTGGAAAATTAGTGATTGACACTTACTTGAGGAATCCAGACACTCAGAAGAAGCTTGGAATTCAGAAGATGCAACTGAAGAGTAGTGTGGCTGTCTTGGAAGGAAGAGCACTGCTTCCTCTCCTAAACTAAGCTCTCCATCTCAAAAAATTAYAGTTGTAACTTAGTATCACTGATAGTTAGCTTGCAAGTAACAAATTTATACTTAGAAAGCTCTATTACTGTTTTCAAAAARTAAATTGGTGTGCATACTACTTGAGATTCACTTGTGCTCTATCCAGACACAGGAACCATGTTTTAAAACCTTTTAAGACAGATTGCTGTAAATGTGAATATCAAATACACATTCACATGTACAAAGCATGTATCATTTTTGGGAGCCTGACTGCCAGCAATGCAGGCAATATGCTGAGAAAACAACACAAACACATTTTTAACCTTGGGCAATAGGTTGCTGGCAGAATGATTTTTCCTCCTCCCGTTAAGGCKACTGCAGTCTTCATAATTACAAAAATCAACTTACTCTCAGTTTTCAAAATTATTAGACCTCATATAATAATCTTTTATGATACAGAGTGTAGTTCCTGTGCAGTGAAATAAACCAATTGACTTTACTCATGTCAGCTGGATTTAACAGAGATGTCACCTCTCTAGACATAGGTGGACTATAGTGATGAAAAAGACAGTTTTAGGAGGAAGCTTCAAGTATTCTGTGACATGTCCATTTATATTCACTGAATTAAGTGAGTACAAAYCAGCACAGTGATGGGTTTCAGAAACAGACCCAACATTGCTGAGCTGTTTTCAAAGCTTAGTGATACTGTTCTGTCATGTAACAAACTCATTATCAGTGCATATCAATGAAGCCAATCTAAATAATGCAATATAGAAAGGCTCATGACTGACTTTAATAAGCTCATTGTCATTACATAACATTCTGTGTAACAGTCATGAGAAATTATTACACCGTGMAGAAAAGGTTTAGTTATTTTTAGAAGGTGCAAATGGGAAAGRTACACAATAAAGATTATACCAGAAGGTGACTTTAGGCCACTGGGAGAATTAGAARCCAAGACTGCAGAGGCAGGAGTGTGTACATCCCCTGTAGTAGAACTGGGTACAGGACATTCCAAGTTTAAGCTCTCCTTTTGATCATCTATAACATCTTCAAAAATCATGCCTGTCAAATGATGTTCTGATTCTGTGAAAAAAAAAACAGACCAGTACTTAGTGTAGACCAATGGGAAATCCTCACGATGCAGAAACCATCAATAATATATATCAGATAGTGRCATCTTTAGTTTATCTGTCACCTACAGCAGCCTGGACCTGGATCAGCCRTGCCTCCCTATGGAAGGGCACTTCCAGGGCTGTGCTGTGTGAACCAGACCTGCACACACAAAGAAAATGAGTGGGCCAGGAGTTGTTCCGTGTGAGCCTAAAGGACATCCTAAATATCGTCTTACGTATGAATACAGATATAGCCATGACTTGGTTCCACCACTTGGCTTTGCTTTAACTCCATAAGTAGATTAGACTATGTTCTTGGCACAGGACAGTAGCTATAAGTAGGTACTATATAGTTATTCATTAAAGAAACAATAAATCTTTCAGTACATCTTCTCTAGAAAACAGCTAAGCTGATGTAACATTTTAATAAAACCAGTAGATATGACAACTCAATATTAAGATTTGCTACCTTTCTTTTTTGTTCCTTTCTCTGATATGCTTGGTTTATATTTCAATAACATCTTTTGGGATTGCATTAAATATCAGTGATAAYTGAAAGCCATCTAAGATGAATATTCAATGGTAAATTTACTATCCTGCTGTTAATTGGACACATACCAGCACCAATGACTCCCGCAGCTCCAGAGACCATAGGATGAGCACCAAGGTCTGAATCAGCAGCCATTTCAAAATCTTCTATCAGCTTCACTAACTGTAATGAAATCCAAAAGGTAGRTAATGACACTTTCTTCAAGGTATTTCTGAGACTTACACTATAGATATTTATGCAAAGTCTACTCTAAATATACTTATCTTGTCAGGATCTTATAAATATTTTAATGCAGTTTCCTGACTGAAAGCAAAGAAGTTCAGGAACCAAAGTAGCTCAAGTAGATTAATTTCATGAAAGAATTTCAAGCTTCTGGATACTTTGAGAAAAACACATATAAATTCCATTATTTTTAGGAACAGTTCTACTCCTAATGATCACATTAAAGTAGCTGAAGTTTTTCAATACATAATTTATTTAAAAGCCACTCAAATTAAARTATTTCCATAGTCTTCATATCTCACAAGTTTCCTAAAGTTTAAAATTAGAAAATAAATACTAAGATTAATGCAAAATGAGACATTTTACTGAGCATTAGTCTCAAAGAGAACAACACTCATACCTGATATGYAATACATGAAAAATAGTTACAAAAGGAGTGACCAACTAGTATGAACTGAAAAAACAGGAAAAAAAAAAAGATTTTCTTCAGGATTCACCTAGATACCCAGAAGTTTTAAAACCCAGGTGCTATGAAATGCTATGAAACAAATATAGGCTTTGTGAAGATCCTTTTTTCCCCGCAAGCTTTTAAAAAATCTGACTTAAATAAAAACTTTGATGAAGGACTTAAGTGATTAAATAATCCACCTTAGTGTAACAACTGTGTAAATGACACAATGAAGTCTTTACATTTCTGTGAATCATGCAATACCCTGAGTTACAAGAGATCTGTAAGATCCATCAAAGCCCAACTTTATTTTACTTCTGTATTAAGATTTATAAAGACAGCAAAAATTCAAATATTTTATGAAACAAATAGGATCATGTTCCAAAAACAGTCACTTCATATTTTGCACAAGCACAACTGGAGRAATCTTTGTCAAAAATTGTCCTACTCAGCCTGAACTTGTGTGCTATTCCATTTTCTCAGTTACACAGAAATTAMATCTATTCTGCCCATTCACTAATAACACCACCATTCTCGCCAACATCTGATCCATTGTAAGCAACCATGTCAGCCAACAGATTTAGCACTAAATATGAACGAATGTGGAGAACTTGAATTATAAAATAGACACTATATAAATATATATATATATATATATATAAATAACGTATTATATTTTATATTATATATTATATTATAGATAGTACATATAATCTTATTCTCAATCTGTCAACATATATTAAGCAGATTTGAGAACACATTGATCCAAAACGTAGGCTTTTTCTTTAGCTAAAAAACTGTTTAAAAAAACAACAGTTAGCCCTCAGAACTCACCATTTTGCTATTTCTGAAATCCTGCTCCATATTTTCTACTATGTTCTGTAGTGTCTGTAATTGCATATCCATTTCCCACTGCTTTGTGGAAAAGTATTCTTTTTCAATTACTTTGGACGGAAGCCCTGAAGAGGRAAGAGTTCTTCCATCTTCACGTGTTACGTTCCAAGTTACACGATCTGTAGCAGAATCTAATTCCTTATCTTCCTTTTGCAATTGGTTTGATACATTTTTCTGATGATCATCTTGAAAAAAAAAGAGAATGCATCAATATCATTGAATAAGCCACAAGCTCCTAATCATGTGAGTAATTAGACATATGTGCTATAGCTAATAGAACATTTCAAGAGACAAGAATCATTACAAAGTCAGTCAAATGTGTCACTGTTGATGTCTAAACAAAAGAGGTTAATTGGGGAAAGGCTGCAGATTTTATGTGGGAGTCTTACAGCACAGAAGTATTACTATTCCTTGGATTGAAAGCTGGAAATGGTTTACCTTGCTTCTGAAGTTCCTCAGGTGGAGTTGCATTAACAACAGAAGCTGCTGCTTGATCAAGTTCTGCAGTAGATGGAATTTCAAGCTTCTCATTTTGCTGTGCAGCAATCTCTTCTGCAGACTCAGGTATCATAGGCAAATTGTTCAGGATGTCACTGTCTTCAATATCAATCACACTGATATATTCACGTTTATGCTAAACAGCAAGATAATGAAGAATTATACAGTATGTATTTTGAATAAGCGGTTTACAATGCGTTGYTCATCATTTCCTGTGTTTACCCCGTAACAGTTGTGACTGAAAGGCTTTTTGTTTGGGGARCAAAATAAATACAATTTTCCCTACCACATTATACAACTGATTCAGRCAGACACAAAGAACCCAAATTCATGAAGTAAAACAAGCAGTGTACTTAAAATGCATTTCATCCATATGTACATTAGATCACTAACCAAATCAGATGYATCTGATAGAAAAGATGGTAAAGGTTTCTCATTCACTTCAGGGGGGACATTCAGGTTTAAGCACATGTCTGGCAGTAGTATCTCAGAGGAACTAGATGGTTCTACAAGAAAATAACAATAGTCAGTATTATATTTACAGTAAAAAGCACAAAACCTTCAGACTATCAGGAAACAGCTCTGCATTCCCTAGATGATAAGAAAAGCTTTGGCTAAGCTGCAATCTAGATTGCTATTAATATCCAAGTCCCTCCTACTTAGGTAAAAAAAAAATCTGCATCTTTACTTAATCCAAAGAAATTAGATTACTCAGCTAGAAGCCTCAAATAAAACCRTCCACAAATAAGTCAYGTAATAKAGTAAAATTATCTTCAAATGGAGRAACACTGTTGAATTTTACAATAACMGAAAAATCAGTATGCTCATTTGGTATCATAATGAAAATACTTGGGTACTGGAATCTGTGCAATGTATCTATGGAAYAAGGGTACTGCAGCTCAATTTCACGTGGAGCTGTGATCTGGTCAATACATTTGGTCTACATTACACTAAATSCCAAAAATTAAGTGGCACTAAAATCCAGCTAAAATCCACGAGAAAAGGATTCAGTTTAATACAAAACCCATGTTAGAACAGTAACATTTTTACAGATTTCAAAACAACTAATGAAGTAGAGAAAGACTGAAGCCATACCTGGTGCAGGAACAGATGTGACCAGCCCCTTTTTTTTAACTTTGGAGACCTTATTTCCACCACTGATCCCACRATCCTGATATGATTTGAGCACTTGATTGGTAAAAAAAGAAGAGAAGATCAAAACACATGAGTTTCAGGAAAGTAAAGATACTGATGGCATTATCTGAGATTATATTTCTGATTTGCCAGCTCATAATCAAAGAAAAGTTGTGGGGAAGAGGCAAGGAAACCGTTTCAGTCACGTGTAAAACACTATAAATATAATATAAATATAAAATGCACACTATAAATATAAAATGCATTTAGATAAAGTCACAGGAGAACTAACTTACAGAAAGGATGAGGAGACTTACAWAATTGCATAAGTAATGTTTTTTATTATAATTATTTTAACTACTGCTCTGTAATTTATATTCCAGTGTTTTCTCTGTTTTAATTCTTTTTGAAATAGGAAATCAGAGCATAAAAAACTGGTTTTGCCTGTATAAATTTGCTGCATTTTGAAAACCGACAAAATATCATAATTAATCAGAAGCAACACCAAAAATAGCTGGTTTCTGTGGATCACCTGGGTAGCGCTTACCTGGGTTAGTATTTGTACTTGCATCTTGAGTTTCTACTGKTTTTTTTCCAACAGAAGCCAAGTAATGCAGATCTGCTGAGAGAGTACTTGCTTTTTCCATTTCGTCTAAAATGCAATAACACAAAATAGGTGTCTACAAATAATACAGAATTAGACATCTTTGAAAGCAATGATATTAACTCACAACTATGGACTCCAACAGTTTCTYCTTTATATTTCTGACAGAAAATTTTAACTTTTCTCTAAGCATACCTCATAAATTATTTAAAGAAAAGTTTGTGCTACCTACTCTATGTGAATACACCACTGTACTGACACTTCCAATGTTACACTAAATTAAAATCAAGATTCGGTTTAGCTATGCRATTTTTAAATTAAATATTTCAATGTGTTGAACAATAACAGTCTACTTCATTTTCTAAAAGGAGGTGAAAAATATTTGTAACATGTATGCCTTCATACCTTTAYTGTTGTTTCTACAGAGTTTGCATGCCATTATTTCTTTAAAGCCAAATTTCAGAGAATGAATAATAYTTTGTCCTGTGACAGAACTGAATATTGTCAGGAATTAACATACTGTAAAGAAGCAAATCTTTCCACAGGCATGGTCATCATATTACATGCTAGAAACATTGCAAACATTGTGTTTCTTTTACAAGAGCCCTAAATTTCGTGTAATTAGAATATGCAGGCAAATAATGCTGGAATAGTATCTTTTAAAAATAAATAAATAAATTTAGGATTTCAAAGGTTTACAGAATTATTTTGATTGAACAGAAATTACTGTCAACCACATCTAATTAAATTCACTCAACAYACTGTTATTATTTTGTTAACTCCATTGTTAAACATAAATACTAGACTACCACTCATTCTTAAGAAAAATCAAAATATTTGTATAATTTTTGGGAAAACTATTATGAATCTTCAGATAATTGATACAAGATCTTAAATTYGCCTGCATCTCTTTACACCAAACCCCTAAAAATTGAATAACCCCAGAAAATTCCAAATACCTACTCTACCTCCTGAAAGACTGGGRTAAGTTCCCATAAGCCAGTAAGCTCTACTGCCCACAGACTACATTCTCTAAGTCTGCAACATATTGATGACCACAGAGCTTTTCTGTGAATTCTAATAAACTTACGTTCCTTGATTTTTTTTTATTTAAGCACTCAAAGCATTAAGAAGACTTGTACTTGCCCATTGAGATGAGAAAACCATCTTGAMTGTAAGACGTTGATTTTGGTTTGTGATCCTAATATAAGGAAACAAAGAGCCATCTTTAAAAAGAGCTCCAGGACAGATTAAAGGCTTTCTTGATGCTGTTAACTATCCAATATACTTCATATGAGTAATGATTTTGGGGAAAAAAAGGACATAACTGTCACTTACTTTGTCTACACCGTTTTTTAATTCCTCTAATCCAACTTAGTGGAATTATTGACTATGTAACATTTTCTTATGTATCTTATCTATGTGCAGTAGCATAAATTCCTTATTCCTCTTTGAGTCTATCCTACCCCTGCTGTACCCTGACTAACATCTCCAGGTCTGATGAGGGTCTCCAGTTCCTGTGTTGGAGTRAAGTCTCAAAGAAGGTACGATATGGATCAGAAATACAGCCTGCTGCAYTGGATAGCGATCTAGCATTAAAATGGTAATGCTCTAGCTTGAAATTTAGTGCTTGTAAGGACAACCCCCAAAAGATACTAAAAGCCCTAAACAAACCGCAGTCTGATGAAGGCTTTCTTTTTTGTCTCTGGGCTGAGACAGAACTGAGATCTCAGTGCCCTGCATCCTTACTCTTACATTGTCATCCATCCAGCCTTCATATGCAAAAAGAAATGCCTTGGTCACTTGTCCTTACAGAACTACTAGGATAAATAAAATTTCTTTTTTTAAAACATTTTTGTATGTTTTTACTATCAAGGTACATACAGGCTTTATCAAAACAGACAAGTTCATGTTCCAGGAAAAACAAATAGCAACCTTGGAATCCTCTATAGAAATAAATCTCCTGTTTACAGAAAAGGGCAAGTTTATGAATTTAAAATATGTATACTGTTTCTAGGCTAGAGCCTGGAACAGATACATACTATTGTTTGGTTTATAATTTTCTTTTCTTTTCTGTTAAAATTTGAATGAAAAAAGGTCAAAGAAAAAACATTATTCTATACCTCAGTCTCTGATTCAGTAACCACTGCTGTGTCACTAATAGTGATGATTTCGTCATTGGGACAGAAGGACACGCTTGGTTTCCTCTTTTCCTCCTTCTCTTTCAGYAGTTTCTTATTGCGCCTCTTTTTACTGTCAACATATTAATTACAGATAAAGAGTAAGAAGTATTATGAAATAATACAAACACTTATCRTTGCTTTCTAAGAAATATTACTACTAAATAAACAGTGAAATAAAGATAGGAAAAGACAAACAGAGCTGCTGCATACAGATCAGTTCAAACCACAATTTCTGCCTGCTTGAAATCTACATAAAATTGTTGYAAGAACCCATAAAAATGCCAGCAATCACACTAAAGTCTATTAATTCTCTAATAAACTATTAATATTAAATATTAAAAACCAYATGTCACACCTATATGTTGTGTACAATTAATAAATACTACACAAAATGCTTGTAATGGATCTGTAAGAAACAACTTACAGATTCAGTAACCACAGAGGTGTTCTAACTCTTTTACYCAAAAGGTTAGAATTCTTTTAATGGAGGACAAGTAGATTACATGACAACTGTAGCTTCTTCTTTAATATGTGTTGAATAGATGATACAACAGCAACTGTAGCTTCTAGCATTTCTACAGGTAGTATCAAAATGTATTCTAAACTCTATCTGCAGTTACTTGTACAGCAAGTTTTCCATTTAAGTGTGAAAAACTCGTGAGCCTGTGCTCCCGAATGAGAGGGCTAAAATYATCGTAACTTGAAGGAACCAAGAATTCTGTTCTAGAACATTCTATCAGCATTCTATGAGAACTGAAGTAAGATATGTAAGCAGCTTAAAYAAACTGTCTTAACTGTTTGTGCAAGTAGATCAAACTTCACAATTAATGAATAATACCCCTAGCAAAACAAAATAAAAAGGAAACCTGCCTTCAGTAGGAATTTTGTTAATCACTGTCTGTATTAAAAATAGCCTACATATTGCATTATACTGAAAGAGCGTTTCCTTCTTGAAGATGACAGTGACAATATGCAGCCCAGACAGCTGTCTATTAATATTGATCAGGTAAAGTGCAAAGCATTTCATAAAGAGTGTACAGCAAAAAGATAACAAAACTTTAAAACACAGATRGTGGAATGAAAAACATTTCCCCTTGAACCTTCTCTCTATCAGTCTGCTAATGGCAAAAGCCCTTCGTACCCTAATGATACACTTCTGCGTCTTTGCTAGCAATTGCTGTTTTATTCTCTGCCGAGAGAATTATGTCCACCTCCTCTGATGTCAAAGCTACAAGGTACAGGTTACCAGCTAGTCTTTCAAAATGAAGTTCTACTTTCAAAATTTGGCTTGCCTTTTTCTGTTGTTCTGCACATCTTTTAGTTCAAATGGTTCAACATCAGTTTTTAGCAGCTGGAYAGGTTTGGCTTGGTCTTGTCCAGAGGAAGTACTGGGCACAGAATGATGCTTGTGGCGTTGCTCAAATGCAATGAGATCTTGAAGTGGAATGAGTTTTGGTGTCTAAGAGGGTTCACAGAGACAAAGAAAGAAGAGAGAAGCAACATGGAGGGGAGACCCAGTCAGACTGGTTGAGAAAAGTAAATACAGTTTGGATTCCAGTTACACAAACAAAACTCCTGCAGCATTTTGTATAGAAAATGGAAATGGAATATTAGCAGCATCAGACCAAAACCTCTGCCAATATGTACATGTATAAATTATTTTATGAAAGTGAACTCAAGATATAGTTTGCTCCACATAACATATTTCACTAATATTTGCATTCTTATGTACCCAGTTCAGTATGAAGTTAGGAACCAGCAGATAATAACTGAAGCACSACCTTTCAAGGAAAAACTTCTCTATTCTTCTCAACTGGGATATGCAAGCATATAAGTCTATCAGAAATAACATTTTCCAAAACATCATATATTCAGCATCCATAAGGTTTTCCTACCAAGCTTTTTACCATTCCATTTCTGCCCTGCAAAAAAAAAAAATTTCACCATATTTTACTTCTGTCAATAATTCTATTATAATTTCTGGAAAAAAAAACCCCTACCTTTTCACCATATAAATATTGTGCAGTATTTTAGATARTAAATTCTTTACATTCATGAACAGKGGGCTGGACAGTGAACTATGGAATGTGAGATCAAGCTAATGGCATTAAAAACTTTCAAGCTTGCAGCCTGCCTCATAYTGACATGCCAATAAGCAAGTACCCTTAGTATAGATCTCTCCTAGTACCTATGCTGAGTGCTTCCAAATTCCAYAGCCTGTAAACATAAACTTACTTGTGATGAATAAGAAATCAYGAAATAGAAAAAACACTTCAAGTTAGAAAAATATATGATTAAAATCTGGTACCTTCTTTTTCTGAGGCAAATTAACCTGAAGTAGCGGTATTCCTGTATCCTGTCGCCTTTCTGTGGTGTCAATATCTTTTGTTGCAGGTTTAATAGGTATTAAAGTAGTAGTGACTGGCTGCCTYACAACAGGTGGAACTGCAGGTACTGGGTCCAGTTTCAGGTGCAACAGTGGAATACCAGGCAGGTTCTGAGCAGTCGGCGCTTTGTACACATTCACATTTRCAGGGAACTCTGGCCGAGGGGCAGCTTCTTGCTGTCCTTCATACTGATCTGAATTCAGATGTTTGGGAGGTCCCATATGCACTGGTTCTGCCCATCTCTTATTTTCCTCATGCATTTGCCTTGGAATCTCAGGGCTGCGGAAATCTGCCTTACTCTCTCTTGGTGTGTATGAGGACTGATGGGTCCATAAGGAATCTGATGAACTCCAAGCTACTCGTGGTACTAGGGGTGGTCTGGCAAAAGCTGATGGCATTTCTGTTGGATGTAAAAATGTTGGTTTGACATGATAATTTGATTTAAGCTTAAGCAAAGGAAATCCATTTGAGTAGCTAATTTTTTTTTCAACAGGGATAAATTTTATTTTTTTCTGGATATCTGAGGAAGGAGCTAGGAGATGAAGTGGTTTGGTAGGCACTGAAGAATRCAAAGCTTGAGATGGTGACATAAATCCTGTTTCCTTGCTGTTGCTTTCAAATAGTGTCGAAGAGGCATTCATATCCAGATGATTCTAAATTAGAAAAGCAAACAAACCAGCATTTACAAACCAGCTATGCACTAAATATGCACAAAAATAGTTCTGTCTACACCAACCACTACAAACACACTTCTTAACTCTATGTAATAGATAACATATCAGATACACTGAACAGTCTTCATAAACCACAATTTCATATACCTACTTTTATTTGGCCATTGTTGCTTTCATCTTCTACACTATTCCTTGGCTGCAARACAGAGCTCTCTTGACTTGTTTTTCCTTTTTCTTCTTGAGTGGGCACTTGTGTTTTTGGAGAAGCAYTGCCTTCACCAGTGTGTGCAGGCTGATTCCCTGCCAGGTTGACTGATTGATGCTGTTGTAGCATTTGTTGCACATTTGGCACATTGGTAAAGGATGACTGCACTATTTGCATTAAACTCATGAAGTTGATCTGCTGTAGCTGAATATACACATGCACAAAATTAACAAYGCCAACAACTTTAACAGAAATCTTAGCAGAAATGTCTAGGCTATGTTACAGATGTTCACTATCAGGTGACAAAACAACATCCCAATAATGGGATGATTCAACAAGGATTCATTTGTATAATTGTTTTCTGTACTGGACTTTCTTGTAAGATACAATAAATACCTGTCACAGACAGGTAATGCTAAAGCAAGATGAATGTCTTCACTTCTTTGGTGAAGTTTTAGTAAATCTAAGGTCACTTAAAATTGGCTTAATTTACTACCACAACTTAAATCCCACTACAGTTGAGAAGTTATTACAGCATCAGAATTTTTCCAAATGTAAACTATTAAAGCACATTGACATATGTGAGCTAAAACAAACTCAAATTTCTACTACTACATCACTCATTTTCTTGAATCAAATGCAAAAATTAAGTCTAAAATAAGTTTTCATGGTTGATAACATGGATCTGGAAATCTCTTACAAGAACAACCACACATAAAATGCCTTTAAAAGGTAATTATTTCCATTATTTTAAGAACACACTTCATACCAAGAAAACTACTTTAAAAATCAGAAGCCCTTACCTGAACTAATTTAAACATTTCATCTTGAAGCATCTGCCTGACAGTTTCTGATGTGTTTGGTTTCTCTCCTCTGGGGACTTCTTCCTTGACTTCTTGCTTCTTTGCACAAACAGAAGTATGGGAGGCAAGACTTGAAATAGTTGACACAATGGTCTGAGAAGGCTGACGATCACTTACAGAAATGTCTGTAATACTTAGGAAAGAAAAGAACAAAACTATGAAAACCACTGAGAGTTCAAAACACTTATATAAGGTTGTCTTACATTAATCCACAGAAATTTTAAAGACACCTTTGTTTTTTTAAAACATAATTAATTAGTATAAACAACCTAATAATTAACAGTGCATAATCTTTACCAGAGAGCATGTACACTCCCAAATACTTGTTAAAATGCTGAATAAAAACAGTAGTAAAGATGTAAATTCTACCTGATTTTGTAGCCACAAGTGTATCTAAACTATTATTTTCAGGCAGAAAATAATGATTTGAGGTACAGGCAGAAAACAATGATTTGACAGAAAAGACAGAAAAAAGGCCTGTTTAGTCATAAAGCCAAACAACTGATAGAAAATGAAGAAGGACATTATGAGTTGAAATAAGGCAGAAGGCAGATTTCACTTACAGTAATGTTCCTTTAGATATTTGGGCTCAAAAAGTAACAACAAGATTTCAGTTTAAAGAAAATAACTTAAAATTGGAATAACATGTACAATACCTAACATTTTCCCACAGCAATAACAAGATCTTTCAGTAGGAAAAGAACATTAAGTACATTAATTCCTTACATGAAGAGGAGAGGGTTTGGATTTACATTAAGCTATAATAAAACTGAGGGACTTGACTTATACCAACAGAAATTGACCCAAAAGACATYTGTCCATTTAAGAAAAATGCTGACATTGCAAGGTTACAGGCAACCCTTGGAGGACTTTGTACAGTTGTACAGTGTAGCCTCCAAGCGTGTGAATGAACAGAAGCATAAAGCAATGGCTAATGAGTAATAGTTTTAGATAGGTAATAGGTGTGAAGTGGAATACAAAATCTTTTGGAAGACAATTAGAATGTGCAAGCGTGGCCTAAAATGCCAAAAGTTTGAGTAAATRTTTTTTAAAAAAAGCTGGCATGAAAAGCTCAAGAAGTAAGAGGCTAGAGACACATGAAAATGGAACCTAGAAGTATGTGCAGTTCATATTTTCCTCTAAACTGAAAAAAGCCTCATAGAGGACAGAAAACCTGAGACAGACTCCTGACCCCCTTTCCCAATTCCAGCATTCTCTCTATTTGGTATATATTTATGCAAATCTATCAGTTGCCACAAGATATATGAATTCTAATAATGTTCATTAAAATGCATATAYAAGTTTAAAATATTATTGTTCAGGTGTTCTATATAACCAAGTATCCTCTATAGTAATGTTATATAACAAATTCTGTTCAGAATCAGAAAACAAAATCATTACATCTCTTGAAATCTGGTAGTTCTGAATTAACATGTTTGATTCATGTGATATTCCAGACAACATATGAATGTATATGATCCCCAAAGATTATAGTACAAAAAAGTTTCAAGAAAAGCAACTTATTTTGCAGGTACAATATACTATATGTGCAAATATTCTGCAGTCAAATCTGCACATTTTCAAACAGAAAGTTTTATTTTATTACATAAAACAGTGCAGGTTTATCTTACCTAGCAACTTCTGCATCTTGTTTTAAAGAGAATGAGTGAGACATGGTGCTAGTAACAACCTCAGTCATACTACAAAGAGAGAAAAAATTAGTGTGCAAATACTACAATAATCTGTTAATTTTTTAGAGAAAAAAATTAGTATTGCAAATACTACAATAATCTGTTATGCTACTTTTATTTCATACACATGTATGTGTATAAATATGCAAAAAAACCTCCTGAAATAGTATTTTAATTAATATGATAATAAATACCTGAAAAATGTATGATTAAATACCTGAAAGCCACCTGAGCATAGCTGATCTGCATTGCTTCAATTACTGCATTACACTGCAATCTGACCTGGCAAATATTGACACACATGTTTTGTCTCCCCTAGCAATCAGAAACTGACTCAAACAAAAGCACTGAAAAAGTTCTGGCTATTCAAGACAGATAGCAGGCAAAAAAGAAGTTGAATCCAGTAAACAAAGGAAGAAAAAAATACAATTTAAGTAATACTGTTAATATCATTATAATCTGCATCTCTAAAAGAGATGAAACAATGCCATAATAAATTCTTGCAGGCATCTTACATTCAGTTAAAACAAAATTATGTAATTTTAAAATATTAGAGGATTCCAAGTCTTTCTAAAAGTAAGCCATTTTAAAGTTTTTCACTAATATTATGTATATGTAGGGATATTTATTTATATGCCACAATAGGATTTTCCATTTATTGTCTTCTTCCCTGACATAAAATATACCTTCGCACAAAACATGCTTATTTTATTAGACCATTACTTATAAAATTAAATKTTATTACTTATAAAATCAGTAGCCCTGCATTTCATATATGTGAAGTGCCTGTACATGAAATAGGAGATTAACTGAGACAGTTTGAWTACATGACATTGTTGCTATAAACAACAGCAGGAACCCTGAGACTTCACTGGATACCATCATTAACAAAACTACTTTAGATTTTTAAGCAAAGTTAAAAGAGGAATTTTAAAACCCCAACAAGTCTCTTACATATTCTGTTCAGCTTTTCCTTCCTTTGTTTCTTCCACATTTTGAACTTCTTCAGGACTATCTACAGCTGAAATGGTGACCTGCTGAATATAAAAAGATGTAYGTGAACTTGCAAATTTTTCTATCCCTCCTGCTTCAATAAAGTACAGTTTTTTAGCTCATGGTAAATGTATTTTTGATTAATCATCCACCTGAAAAAATCTCACCAAAAACAATCAAAATCACACATTTAYCAGAGGACAGTTACAGATAAGCAAAAAGGAGATACCATAACAATTCACTTGAGCATCTTTCCTTTTCTTAAAATGATCTCATTATTATGAGATTTTAGTTTTAAATTCATATTCATGTAGTACCCTGGATATATACTCTGCTAATCTCAAACCCCCAAGATAACGATGAAAATGTAGATACAACCCCATGATAAATAACCTATCTACAAACTAGGAATGAAACAAATGTAAGATTTTATGCTATAGATTCACTATAGTAAAACATACTGCAGAATTGAAGACCACAATACATAGCATAACAAACCTTAGCCACTTTCAAAGAAAAGATACCTATTACCAAAAATGATGCATGAAAATGAAGGATCATTTATAAATCCAGATTGAGTTTTCAGACAGCAGCAAAATAAACTTCTTGATATATTTATTTTTTTAAAAAAATTAATGTAATTATATATACAATTATATATAGTATATACAGATATGAAAGCATACACAATTTTCAAAAGTGCTTAGAGCAGATCTCACTTGATTACCTATTAATTCTTATTTTTCTTATTAAGAAGGAAGAAGACTCACCAACCCAAAACACTTTAGCCCCTCAACTTCCCAAAAGTATTGATGAATACAGGATATTGGATAACAGTATTCTCAACAATTCATGCTTCCATGTAAGATCCTGTCACATTAAGAGAGATGCTCGAGCTGAGTAAGGCAGCCCAGCCTGCTCCCTGTCTAACAACCAACACAACCAAAGAAAATTGATGGGTGATAGTAGGAAGCAACTCTCTTCTGAGAGGTAGCAAGCCACCCATTTGCTGACCTGACAAATTCTAGAGAGTGGCACTGAGAGCTCTGGAGTAGAGTCAATCATCCCAGTCAAAGGGAAAGGATTTGAAAGGGTTTGAATCTGGTGAATCAGCCAATGGCTATAGGACTGGTGCCACAGCCAGGGGTATGTATGGCTTCTTCAGCCAAGGGACTTGCTTTGAGAAACCTGTCTGCTGAGGGCTGGTGGGGTTCATCTATCAGAGAAGGGCTACAGCATCTTTAGTCACAGACTTGGCAAGTGGGAAACATGGCTTTAGTTTAAAGTTGTGAGAGGAGGGACAATTTTATGCCAGCGTCAGAAAGAGATGCCTGGAGAAGAACTGCATGTCAACAGAGCACCTGAAGAGCTGCACAAAGGAATTACAGCTACTCCTGCCAGTAACCCAACTGCATCGGGGCCCAGTTTAAATGCCTCCATGCAAATATGCATAGCATGAGGAACAAACAAAAGTTGGAGATGTGTACATCTACTAAGTAGGACCTGGCACTGCAGACGTGGTGTGATGGCTCTGGTGACTGAAGTGCTGGAATGGATGGGAGCAGGCTTTTCAAGAAGCACAGGGAGGGAAAATGAGGAGTGGGTGTCACCCTCTGTCAGAGACCAGCTGAAGCATGAAGCTCGGCCTGGGGATGGATGAGGAGCTGACCAAGATGGATCAGTTTATGGGGATGACAGGAGACTGTGTGATAAAGGCTGCCCAATTAGGTGCACGAGGTCCTCTATATACAGATAGGAACAGCCTCATGTTCGAAAGCCCCGGTCTCACTGGGAACTTCAACCATCGCAAAATCTGTTGGARGGACAACACAGCATGGCACAGGGAATCCAGGAATCGAGCTGCAGCAACCATGAAATGGTGGAGTTTGAGTTCACAGGGCAGTGAGGAGGGCACACAGAGAGCTCACTGACCTTCACTTTAGGAGAGCAGACTTCAGCCTCTTCAGGGATCTGCTTGGTAGAGCTCCAAGCGATAGCATCCTGGAGGGAAAAGGGGGTAAGAAAGCTGGTTAATATGCAAGAATCACCTCCTCCAACCTCAGGAGTGATGCATCCCAACAAAGAGGAAGTTAGACAAAAATACCAAGAGGGTTGTGTGGATGAACAAGGAGTTACTGGAAAAAGTCAAACACAAAAATGAAGCCTACAAAGGGTGGAAACAAGGACAGGGTGAGGAATCCAGAGAGCTTGTCCAAGCCAAACATGTCCTGGGCTGCATGCAAAGCAGCATGGCCAGTAGATTGAGGGAGGCCATTCTTCCCTCTCTTCTGTCCTCAGAGACTCACTGGAGCATTGTGTTCAGCTCTATGTCCCCCAATAAAAGAAGGACATGGACCTGCTAAAGCAYGTCCACAACAAATAGTGTTCAGAGACCTGGAGCACCTCTCCCATGAGAGAGTTGAGGCTGTTTGGCACAGAGACCAAAATGCTCTGGGAGACCTTAGGGTGGTTTTTCAGTACTGAAAGGCGCCTACAGGAAAGCTGGAGGTGGACCTCTACAACAGYACATAGTAATAGAAGAGGGGGAAATTACTTCAAATGGGAAAAGGATGGGTTTAGATTAGATTTTAGGAAGAAATTCTTTACATTGAGGAGGTGAGACACAATAATAAGTTGCCCAGAGAAGTTGTGGATGTCCCATTCAAGACCAGTTTGGATGGGGCCTCGGATAATCTGGTCKAGTGGAAGGTGTCCCTGTCCATGGCAGGGATTTGGAATGAGATGATCTTTTAACTCCCTTCCAAACCCAAATATTTCTATGATCTCTGATGATTCTGTGGTAACTTGCCTGTTTTCTTTGAAGTTCTGCAGGTTTGATCCTGACAGAGCTATTGGARCTCTTTGGAGTTTCATATGGCTCCTCAAAGCACTCTACAAAAATAAACACAGTTATTCTAAATCAGAAAACTACACGGATTATAATATTGTTATGTGATTTCTGACTGCAGGTCACATAAGCCCACTTTTTCACTAGTGAGAAATGTTCTGAGTTGTCTCAGCAAATCCAAAATTTGTGTTCTTACTAGTGTTGATGCATGCACACAAAGAGAGAGTTTAAAAAAAAAAGCAGCTTATATAAATGGTATGAATATGATAAATTTAACTTATGCATACTCAGCTTTTAAAATCTGCAAAATGCTTTGAACAGTTGCATGCATATTTCTGGAATAAAAGTATATGAAAGATTAGAATATATTAATTTACATTATTCTATCTCTATAGAAAAAAAAGTTATATAAAAGAAAAACTCATTAGGAAGCCTTAACAAAGCAATTTATAAAATCTAGTTGTAATACAATTTGGGTCAAATAATTCCAACAGAACAATGAAAACATTCACATTTTTTTAYCAAATAAACAGAAGGACATAAAATCAAATTCATGCAAAACTCCTACAGCTTTACATGTCACACCACAGTAAAAGGATGTATAATTGAAACAAACCTTCTTGTTCTGTTACATCCAACTCCTGCTGAACAAATGGTCCCACTTCATTCAGGTCTTCAATCATATGAGGAACAGAATTATTTCCATGRTTAATTTCCTTCTTATCAACATATTTTGACTTTGCAGACATTCTGGTAATTAGAATTGCAAAAGGTAATTAACAACATAAGTAACTGGCTCACTTCAAGTATGTTGTTCCTTTGAGATTGCAGACTAGTGCCTGATTGTAAAATAAACAGAGTTGTGATACAATCAATGTTCATACAAGATTTCTCTCTGACTATGACTTAAACCAAGCTTATTTCTTTCTGGCACGGATGTGATATTTCAGTGTCATTAATGATACACTCCTTCAGATGTAACCAACATACATGATCCACCAAAAATGGAAGATAAAACTGTGATATGTCTTCAAAATCATCTGGTTAAGGTTACCTTTATCTCCCTCACAGAAACTTCCTTTATTAAAAAAAAATTAAAATTGTCAGACAAGACATAMAGTAATGTCTCAAAATACTAGAGATCCTTTTCAGAATACTAGAGATCTATCTCTCTCTGTAAGTATCTGTATATCTTCTAACACTAGAAATCTATTTTTTCTTTATTGCAACAGATGGAATGCCACAAAGGAGTTCAGGTTAAGGATTCTTTATCTTCAGAACAGTGAAAGATACTAACAAATATAATATTTACTGCTTTTTCCATCTACTTTTCTGACTTGTACACATAGTTTACAGATCCAGGTGAGAATAAACTAACATTGTGAACCACTCATCTCTAATCAAAGAAAATGACACTGAAGAGAGGGGAAATTATCTGAATTCTTTGAGAAAACCATGATACCCATTGTATTGGAAATCTAGATTTTATTTCCACATCACAAAGTTTATTAATAATCACGTACAATTCACTTAATATGCCACAGCTACATTGCTTTCTACCTTATGCACATCTTGTGATGGAGAATATTTCATCTGCTTCATGCAGCTGTAACCAATACTCACAAGTTTGACTTTTCACTCAAAATTAAACATGTACATAACACTTAATAACAGTAGAACTCTTCAYGCTACTCAGCAGAGGAATTATGACCAGCTAGAGTTCTTAGGTTAAAAAAAAAAAAAGTTACCCCAAATCCACTTCACAAAGATCGTCATAGGCTTGTACATTCTGGACATCAGGAAGGAAATGGGCGACTGTGGAAGGGCCTTCATCCATACTACTTTCTTCCTCTGTTCTAGACTGGGCTTCTGATACAGATGCAATTTCTTTCAGGCATTGATTATCTGGATGCTATTAATAAAAATAATGCTAATCAAAATTACTGGTAAAACAAATATATATATTCCAGATACTTAAAAAAAAAAAAAACATACCCCACATTGCTTTCATATAGAATGATTATGCTTAATTCAGATCCTTTATTATAGAGCCAAGAAACATTAGTTTCTTCCTTTTTTGCATTAAGTGAAGCAATAGTCCTCTGACTTATCCAAAGGAAACATAAGAAAGATTTGTTAAGTGTCTACAGTGTCAATTGTCGATGATAAAGACTCGTATGGCAATATAATTGAGACATATAGACAGTRAGATTCGGTCTTAATCAGATGTTGCATAGAACTCTCAAATTATCACTGAAAACCATATGAAAGGCAAAAAGACATACATAATCCTGTGGTTAGATGCACACACAAGGTTTGYAAACTGTAAATAAAATACTTGTCCAAAAACCAGAAAATACAAACCAAAAGTAAGAAAAARATCTCTTTTGAAATGGGAGAAAAACCTTCTCAAAAAACATCCCACAACCTTGTCCTCTTAAAACCTTTCATGCATTCTCTGATTCTATGTAGTGTTAATTAAAGAAGCTAAGTGATCCAGTTGTCCCTAAAGTATGAACTAAAGAATTACCTACCAGGGCCTTGTGGCAAATCTCTTCYTTCATATCCACACATATACTCCAAATCTTTATAACAGTGCTAATATTTTTTCACCAATCTTTAACTAGCTTAAATATTCCAGTCACACTGTATCTGCACTGTCCTCAAAGACAAGGGAGCCTAAACTCAAGTCTTCTGACAGAAACTATTCCTTTATTCTTTGTCTTGTTCTGCAATATTCTATCTCCAGTATTAGGTTTCTTCAAAGATGATGCCTAAAACTAGATACAATGGTCAAACTTACAGGAATTTGTGCCAAAAACATGGTATCTGGGTAAATGAACTATATGAACTATATGAACTTTCAAAGAAAACTTTGATCTCCAGTTCAACTATTTCCACAGACAGAATATAAATATTTCTGGAATTTTTCTCTTTTCCAAGCAACCCTTAAAGAAAAGGCTACTAATCAATGTTCCAGGTTTTACTGACAAGAGAACTGTAAGATAAAACAYGCATGTGATTTTTCTTACTGGCATAACTCACTCATACATTTCACTGACATGTCCCATTCTTTTTATTACCTTATGCMTTATGCTGTCTGTTTGACATCTGTCTCCGTATAACTGTTCTAACAGCCAAAGAGAYGTAAGGACAGCTGCTGATGATGTTTTCACATGTATCACTGGGAGAGTATCTTCTAAGGAACCTTGTTTATTGGAACCACAGAGCAGTCTTTTATCGGACCATCTGATCATCCACTCCAGCAATTTTGCAATATTGCTCAACTCGCCCACCAGTTCTACAGGTAGCTCTTCTGCTGGTACAATACCAACTACATCACGAGTTTTGTAAACATATTTACAAGTTGCCTGAGTTTGCAGGGTAGAAGTAAGGTTAGGAAGGGTCTGGCTTGCTAGTCCAATAGTGACTTCTTGATTGTCAGTCTGAGCTCTGTAAATTGACTTGTATTTTAAACCAAATAATCCTTCTTTAAGTCCTTTGGTTAGACTACGCACAGAAGGTTCTGTTGTCTGTACAACAGACTGTACAATTATTGGTTTTTCCAAAAGATTTTTGTTTTCATTACAGATGGAAATYTTTTCAGGATCACAAGATGCCAGGGCGACAGTATAGCAAGACCCTGCTCTAAACACACTTTGACTTCTAGTTTTGTTTTGTCGACGTTTTAGTGTTGTGTGAACATCAAAAAATAGAGAGTTCAATTCAYGTTCTCGAAGCAGACCAGAAAAGCTAGTAAGAAATGGAATTCCAATGTCACTGCACTTTATCAGGTCTCTCTCAAGAACATAACTCAAAAAGAGTTCTAAAAACCTAACATATTCATCGTCATCACGTTCGAATTCCCATGCACCAACTACAGGCAAATTACATTGATTAAGCATGTCTCTTCTACATAGTTTGTCTCTATGTTTTCTTTCACAGTTAAGAGCTTTTATCTTTTGTGTGGTATTTTTGCGACCTATTTCCCTTTGTCGCTGGAGTTCATAATCCCTGTAGATAATAAATATAAGAATCATTAATACCCAGATCCATTTAAAAGAACTACATGCATCATTAATTCCTTTTCTTCCACTGGTGTTAGAAAAGGCAAACTAACAAACCAAAAATTACATTAATACCGTGTTAAGATGGTAAACCAATCAAATTCAAAATCCATAGGCAAAAACTAGGCAGTAACATGCAAGAATGTGAACATAGCTGATAATAATTCACACTTCAACAACGTATTAGCCACATACTAACTGACATAACAGTTYTAAGATTTGGTAAATTTGTAATTCTTCAATTATAAATTCAATTACAATTACAACTTGATTAATCACCCAAAGTGGTGAAGAGATTACTTGATCAGCAGAAGACAACTCTTTTTTTTTCTGTCCCCTAATTTAAATCAAAATCTTTCTGCTGCAATTTTTTCATACCTTGAGAATGAAGGTGTTTGAGGTCTTGTTTCTTCAGTAAACAAAGCATCAGAAAGTGTGTCTGCCATGTCTGTATCACTATATACTTGAAGATTTCCAACATCAGTAAGTGTACTTGTGCTTAGACTAGTGCCTAGTGAGAATCTGTCATAACAGTGCTCCTCATCATTTGATGCTCCCTCTTCTACTGGCTCCCAAATATGAATTTCTATAGGGCCTATATTCTTTACTACACGTCTCAAGGCCTTCTTTCTCACTTCTTCAGCAGCCTGTATAACAGCAGACATAATTTCTTCCCTTTCAGGACCTACTGAAAGAAAGAAAACCAAGTTTTCATCTAATTTTTCAGTTTTGAGTTAGTCGCTCAAATTGAGACATTAATTAGATTACAACAGAAATCATAAAWTTGAACCATTAATAAATTCAAAAAGAAACTGTGATGAAGTAAAGAAACACCAACATTTGGAAAGCCATGATACTCTGATTGGTATAGATGCATCAGAAGAAAATACAGAACTTCTCACAAAACTCAAATTTGTCTAACTGAAAACTACAATAATTGTTTTGCATGGGATATGAAATTGTCACAAATTTATAAGTAGGACAAAAAGGACAGTTTGTTAAAAATTTCCTGAAGAAGGATRAACATTACCTTTAACAATACTGTCTCTCAGTCGCCGCTGAAGTCCATGATATTTATCTCGTAGTGGAACTCTTATATCTTCAGGATTAGGAAATGCTTTCACGAAAATCTCTGCCACCTACACAAAAAAACCCCATCTTTTCCAGTAGCTAACACACAAGTAAGATGTCCTTTCACACAGAATTTATACCACTAAAAAGCTAACTAGTAGCTTTTCCAAGTAGAAGTAATATTTGTGATAATCTCTATTGCTTTTAGTCTAGTTTTAAGGTCTTTTACCTTTTTTACTGGTGGCAATTCTCCAAGCAGACTCAAAATTACATCTTGAACTAATTCTTCAACATTCATGAATCTGCAGAAAGGAAGCATTCGACAAGCCCACTCCAATGCATTCAGACAATGCTCAATTATGGAGGCATCATATCCATTCTTATTTGGATCCTAAAAAAATCACCAGAAACATTAATTGGTATGAACAATATATTTCAGCAGAATTATTCATACATTGCAAATAATAATATTTCTTTCCTAGCCCACAGAAAATGAAAATCTCTAACTTATCTGCCAAACATAGTATAGTAGTGTATGAGACCAGGAGACAGATCAAGGTTGTAATGGATGATAATGTATGTTAAAAAAAAAAAAAAAARAGGACTTTTAAAAACCATCTTAGGAAATAGTTCCATTAACACTGCTGAAGAGGMTGGTTTTAGTGACAGTAAAACCTGAGGATTTGCCTAAACTGTGTAGTAAATGATTTTACTTGTACTTCAGGTGATCTTGCTCTTGTAAGCAAGAAAATTAAGCCTTGCAAGAGGTTTTTAAGATGGATCAGTTTGTTTTTAACAGTATTTCCCATTTCATTTGTCATTGTCACACAAAGTACAGAAAAAAGAGAATATTCTACCATTTGAAACAGAGTCATCCTTGGTTTTTTTGGTGAAGAAAAATTTTGGACTTGTTACGACATACATGACAAATAAGCTAGTAGTTTCTTTGTTTTCCTTGACCTCTGACATCAATTGATGAAAGTATAAGTAGAGAAAACATGATTAAGTTTTAATATTTTCCATTATTCTTTCTGAAAACCATGTATATTTAATGCATCACAAACCTCATTTTTGGTGCATTAAATACACATTAATCAGGAAATACCCAAAACCACCTAGATCTAATGGGGAAAAAACCAAACCAGAAAGTAAATTCTAAGTTCATCAAGGGTAGAAGTGATTGCTCTTCTGGCAGTTATTGTTCTTCTGAGTTAAATATCAAGAAAAAGCCTAACAGCAATACTGTCAGGAAGATGGTGTTTATATGCACAGCACTACTCTGTAGAATCAAATATGTGATTCACATTGCAAGCACCATGCTCATTTTGTTCTGTTAAGCAAATAAAAGTTCTCACAGAAATATACAGCACACCTTTAGAATTCTTCTCATAGCTTCATGCAATTAAAATGTATCTGTATTATATTAGTAATGTAATTACCTCGATAAAATTGTTAGTATTTTCTCTKGCAGTTTGGTACCGCCTACAGGCATCAGATAATTTTTCACGGACATGAAACATCCAACACAATGCACAGAAATCTCTGAACCAACCTACAGTACAAACACACAATATAGTGAGATTCTATTTAAATAGAACAACTTGAGATTTTAGCTAGGAGAAAAGAACTAATCAAAACCAATTGTTTTAAATAAAAAAATAACTCATGTCTGTATGTATAACTCATTTCAGTATGTTCTTTCACATCGGTCAGATTTGTAAGATGCACCCCCACCTCCATCCTATAACARCACATTTCAGAATACAAGTTTTGATAACAAACATAAAAGCTGGAAAAGAAATTTGCTCCCGACACATTGCAACATACTGTCTCAAGGTAATAAGAGCTTATTTGCACCTGTGGATTTTCACTGGTATTCCTTTTTCTAGCACTTAAGTATTTTATGTTATTGATACAGACCCAAAATTTTACAGGTAATGTCATCAAACTGATCATCTTCAGAAGATGCAGATCCACAGAGAACAGTGTGGAAATCGCAGTAACGAAGCAAAGTCTCTGGGAATGTACTCAAAGAAGGAAGAGAACCTTTCATCCGAATCTACAAAAAATAATAAACAGTTAAAATAATAAAAATCAGTTAACATTTTATATGACTCACTACTAAATGCACACTTCTCAGCTATTAGCAGAATACTGCCACAATCWGCAAAATTCCCTTAAGCTTGCTTTCCATTTGCTTCAAATCACTATTTTGAAAATTAATTTAAAGGAGTATGTTTAATATGATCTATRGCACAAAAAATGCTTTTGTTTGAATGGTACTCATTATGAAATAAAAGAGTAACAAAGTAAAAGAAGAACTAAGATCACAATCAAGAAATCAGATCAATTTAACACAGCCCAGCTTGCTGTCACCAGCTTTCCCTCAAGTTTCAGCTGGTATGTCTAACCAGCTCCCCATGCCAGCAGTAAGATGTGACCAGGCAAACAAAAGTAAATATTTGTCAGTCAGACCAGTTCCAGATCTCAAACACTGCATTAATGCTTGTGCAGAGGGGCTGCAGGAAGTGAGACAGCTACAGGCACTCCCTTCTGTACCAACTCCACCTTCTTTAAGTAGGTGTACAATAAATGACCTAAGAAAAGCCAGACTTTACACGAAAATTTGTAATCAATATTCTGAAATTCCTTCTGGGCAAACAAATTGCACAAAARTAGACTCAGATCTTACAAGTTATGTGACTAAGACAGCCCTTTGCCTGAAGCGAGCATTGCCTTCTCTGTTTCATATTCAACGCTAAATGACTTGGAACATATTTACACCTAACAGCAATAACTTCTAATTAAAGTCCACTTTTTTTCTTTCAAATGGAGAAAAAAGTTGTATKTTGCCAAGCAGGTATAGAAAGATACCTAAAAGGAAACACTTTATTGATTAGACAACCCATATTTTTAAGTTCTGGTTTCCTAAAAAAATGAACATGTTGTGTAAAACTAGAAGACAACATATACAAAATATGACACCGAAGTCCAGGTGAGACTGAATSCTTCTGCAACTGCAAACTCATCAGTAATATTTACAACTGACAATCAAGTTAAAAATACGAAGTTAAATGTTTACTTTCTGCATAACTTTTCTTGCCCGCTTCAGTTGTGTAATATACCACTGTGCTGCAGAGCAAGAACAATGAGCAGCCCGGAAGAGCAAGATAATTCGCTGAAGAACTCCTGACACTTTCTGACGGGTTTCTTTCTCCATTTTTAAAAGAATGTCATTGCTGTCTTCCTGAAAATGCAAAAACAAACAAACCCCAGAATTAGAAAGGACATATAATTAAATGTTTCTGGTCCCAATCCCTTCTTCTTTACAGCACAGATCCTTTATGGAAAAAACACAGAGAAACACATACTTTTTTTACCACTACTCTGCCACTTAAGTATATGAGTGGACATAGAAGAAAACAAAAATGAGTTGAAAGGAACCAGAATAAAGATCATAACTACATTAATTCACAAATACAAGAAACACACTTACTTCACTGAGWGAAGCTGGCTGAGGACAGTACAATGGTGGTGCTGGAAGATAGAGCCCAACTGGAACCAAACCATAAAATTTTCTGCCAAGATCCTTGGCAGAATCCATCAAAAGCTGAAACGTCTCTGAGAGAATATCAACATCTGCCATAACAGCTGCTTTCAGTAGTTCCTGTATTGAACTATAAAGAACATCTGCATCTTCTTCCTCAATGGGATCTACAAAATATTAAGCACAGAAACTGATAAACTAATTGAATCAATACATGGATTTTCATTCTGACATCATGAGGTTACACTGTCTGAATTTGTATTCATATATGACAATGACAGACCTCATCTACTTGCTATAAGATCTCATACACTGAAATATAATATTCAATTAATAAGTTTTGTCCCATTACAATGGAGGCTATTGCCTTTCTTGGTAGAAAACTTAACTTTTTAGTGAGGAATTTGCTTGACATATTTCTCTGGCAAATCACTCTTACTAAGAAGGTGTAAAGTAGGTACACTACTAATAATGACTAAAGCAACTCTTTTATCTGTAAGTACATCCACCTGCTGACAAGAACTTGGAATGTTTTCATACAGAAAAAAAAAAGAGAATAAAAAGTAAGAGATTGTGCCAGTAAACTTACTGTAAAATATAAATCAGGACAGGTTGATCTAGCTAATCTAGCTAGTGTACATTTTAGAAGCAGAGTATTAAGTTACGTTATATGATGAAAAGGCCATATGCACACAGAGGAGCACAGAGACTGAGAAGTACCTAGACCCATCTAGTCAGAATAGAAAAGCGAAAGGCTTATGTCCAGAAGCCCAGAGATGCAGAATAGCAAATTATGTCCTCAGAGAAATGGACTCCTGTCCAGGCTATTGCCAGAAGAACTATCAGCCACAGAGTCCAGTTACAAAATCCAGCAAGATGAGCTATGAGTATGCCTCCCTTCAGTACCTTTTGGCTTGATGAGTTGACTCTCAAGAGTGATAGCACATAGTATAGGATGTAGAGGAAGAGCTTTTTGGGATTGCACAAGGATCATGATGGGATCCTCAGGAGAGAAACCAAAGGCTGGAGTTGAGGCAGCCTTGCTTCCACTCGGCCCCGTCCTTTGTCCCCATGAGTGAGTGACCCTCTGTGCACTGTGCTTGTATACAGTCTTTTAAGTGCCAAAGGTCAGAAAGCCTGTCTGGGATGCCAGCAACTGCAGCAACCGGAGTTAAGTCAAATCAAGTGCCAGCAGCTACAGTGGGACCACAGATCAGAGTGCCAGCATACCCCATAGTGACAAGTGGAGCAAGCAAGTAAACACATGAGCCAAAAAAGAACACTATAAGTAAACACATGAGCCAAAAAATACCAAGTCAGACTAGCTAATGAGTAAGTGAAGCATCCTACGACCAGAGGGGCAAGAGCAAGTTCATAGGAGCTCATACTATCTGCACGGACCAGTGAAGACCTGGCCAGTGGCCAGAGAGACTACTGAGAGACCTGCATGTGCGTCTCCATGTCTCCAAGGGTAAGACAAGGAGAGACCAAGGGAGTCATGACCACATGCCAGAAATACAATGTGTACATAGTTAGGTGTATGTCTCTAAAGTAAGACTCAGACTGAGCCTGGACTGACTGAGGAGCTCAGACCAGCTCTCTGCTGACAGGACTGTATTCTCAAAGCCAGCGGCTGTGGGGGTGCACAGACAGTGTGTGCCTGGGGTTGGAGAGGGTGTCTGTGAGTGGATCTGTACCAGACAAGAGAGAGGGGCTTTGGGTGCTCACATACGCAGATATGAGCAACCTGTGATACTCAGCTACTGGGTCTGCTGGCCAGCTACTCAGCTATTGTGTCTGGTGGTCAGTAAGTCAACTGTGGGTCTACTGGCCTTGCTACTGGCCCAGCTACTGGAGAGATGTACACTATACAAACAGGTATCTATATGCAGAACTTCACCCTTACAAGCAGGAGAAGGAAGTGGGACAGGACTGTTGGTGCTGCCCATGTGAGTGCTGAGCAGGTCTGTAGGTGTTGATGTGAGGCCAGCTCTATATAGGTGCTCTGTGTGTGCTTGAGTATTTGCCTGCTGGGAATACATTCTCAGCCTTGCTAGCTGCTGGACCTGGGGACCCACTTTTACAGAAAGGAAAAGCCAAAACTAAACTTCCTGTAGCTAATTTCAAGTATGATGATACTACCCATACTGTTAATACATYAATTTTTTGTTTGTGTGTTTTAATGAAGCTTCAGTTTTCTTCCAAACAAGTTAATATCAAATATAGTCAAATAAGGGTTTGGATAATACAAATGAAGAAGACAAGATTGATAATATGCTCCATTTCTGGAATGATCAAAGCCAAAACACACACTCTCATGAAGTTAAAGTGTTTGATTACACTATGACAGCAATACACACACTGGAGAAGACAAAGCAATTGCTTCTTTCTCTGACAGAGCATAACACTGAATATATAGTCAAATAACATGAGAAATAACCACAGTTATTTTCAATTTTAAGTACCTGTAAACTTCTTGTATTTCACATGTCCTGATGTTTCAGAAGTTACTGGCTGTCCTAACAAAGACTGTAACTTTTCCTGGAAAGTCTGCATCGGTAATAAGCTTAATGGCAGCTGACATTCTGTTTTTTTCAGTCTGAAAGCATAAGAAGAAACTGCTSATGAATAACAAAGTCATATCCATACATAATACAATGAAGGTCTGTTAAATGATTATCTATGCCAAAGTAACTAACTATAAGACTTTAACTCCTATGACTGCTAGGAGTCTGGGAATTAATTTCTGAGGCAATATTTATGGCTTGTCACAATAAACTTCATGCAACTAACCATATAACAAAATATAGTATACTAAATCCAAGTGTAAATTTACCTTGAGAGCTCATCAGAGTTCTGACAATACAGCTGGTAGGCCAGACCAATTGAAACAGACAGTTTCCAGTCCCCAAGTGTGTGTGCTAACCACACAGCCTCCGGAATGAGTCCACCAATAAAGAACAAATCAAGAGCATATTCAGCTGTCCACACCGATGAAAGATCCTGGTCCCTGACAGCTCTGGTAACCAAGCAATGTTGCAGTGGAATGACACGAGGAGATAAGTCTGTGGCATGAAAAACATTTTTTAAAGTTTACATAAATCCACATGCTATCAGATGAATAATCTAGAATTCATTTGTTCACATTGCTTGCTTCAGTGTACAATTCCTTTTATTAATAATTTATTTTTATTAGAGGCACACTATGGAAGCTTATCTGCAGCAGGCAGGTGCAGCCCATGCTATGGTATAATAGTGTGTTCAGAATAGCCTGTTTTTCTGCTTAATAATGTGGGATATGCAAGCAAGTGCAAAACTTGTGGGAGGTTTTTTTTTTACTTTGAAGATTTAATCACACTGATGGACCATTTGCCAATATTCTTGATATCTGCAGGATATGCCAGAGAGTACACCTGAGATAAATGGAAACCCATAGTTTTCCTAGTGTACCCATGTTGTTTGTACCCACTGTAGTGCTTGCTTCACAAGACAGAACATTAAAATGCATTTTGAGAAAGAACAGTACATAATATTCTGTGATTCTCTAATTTCAGAAGAGTATATAGAGACAAACTTCAGACGTACTTAGTATCTCCTTCTTTGTTTAGATTTAGATTTGTTTTTCCAAGCTTTGCTTCCTGGTTCTCCTGGAGAGCTGCTGACCAACATAAATTCTAAGGAGTTATTTGCTTCTCTCAGTTTCTGTTTTTCTCAGACAATGGCATTACTTAGGAGATATTCACACTAATCCATCTCGTGCAATGTAATTTTACCAAGATTGTCTCACTATGTACATCAATTTTTGCCTAATCAAGTATTAAAATCAAGATTTTATTTTGTAGGTTTTACCTGGAAAGCTACAAATAAAGCATTCAAAAGACCCTGAAGAAAGAAGTAGATACCAGTGCATGCTGTAGTACAGAAACACTACAAATACTCAATGTGTTCTACGATATTAACTCAATGTTAATATTGTAGAAAAATATGTGGCATTATAATATCAACTTACTGGTAGAGTACTTAAAATACTTCCAAACAAATCTTTATTCGCACAAACATTTGAAAAATAAGCTCTGAAAATAAAAAATTCTCAACAAGGAAATCTTTACATGGAATCTCTCTGAAACCACTCACTGTGATAAATAGTAATACTCAGAAAGAAGCTGAAAAGCAGAACTTAAATGAACAAGTACTACTCGGGTTAAAAAACAAAGCAGCCTGACTTTCCCACTTGCTTTGACAATATGGTATATGAAGCATTTTGTTTCTGAGAGCTTGACTGTCAGATAAGCAAAAAATGTTTTCCTCTGACTTTTCAGTTTGGGTCACACCAGACCACAGATACAATTCAACTACTTGTTAAGGACTGCTGTTTTCTCACTTTTGGGAGGATCAAAGTCAGTCAGAGCCCAATCCTTAGGAAAAATTATGACAAAGGATGATAAAAAGGCTGAGGTACTTAATGCTTTCCCTTTCTTAGTCTTTAATACTAAGATTGTCCTGATAAAAAAGCCCCTGAGCTGGAAGACAGGGATGGGGAACAGAATGAAGACCCCAATCCAAGGGAAAATGGTCAGCAACCTGATAGACAACTTATACACACATAGGATGGGATCCACTGAAGGAGTACTGAGGGAAGTGGAGGAAGTGCTCACTGAGCCAGCTTCCACCATTTACAGCAGTCCTGGCTCACCAGAGAGGCTCCAGCTTACTGAAAGTTGGCAAAAAAAGATACCCATTTACAAGAGGTGGAAGAAGGCTTTGGAGAACTACAGACCTGTCTGCTTGACCGTGGTGCAAGGGGAAGCCATGGATTATCTTGATATCCATCATGAGACATGCGCAGGACAACCAGGATCAGGCCCAGCCAGCTGAGATTAATAAAAGGCAGGTCCTGCTTGATCAAATGGATCTCCTTTTGTGACAGGGTGCAAGAGGACCCTGGTCCCCCTGCACAGGGTTCTGGATCCATGGACTGAGGACAATTGCATGGCCTTCATCAAGACCAACTGTCAGGCCTTGGGTCACAACAATCTCTGCAAGGAGTGCACTACAGGCTGTGGGAAGTGTCTGAAAAGTTACACAGTGGAAAAGGATCTGGGGGCACTGCTTGACAGTGGCTGATCATGAGGCAGTGTGTGCCCAGGAGGCCAAGGACATCCTGACTTGTGTCAGGAAGAGTGTGGCCAGCAGCAACAGGGCAGTGATCATCCCCTTGTACTGGTGAGGCCACACCTTGAATTATGGGGTCAGTTTTGGGCCCCTCATGAAATAAGGACATTGAGGTGCTGCAGTAGTAGGGAAACAAGTCTGGTGAAGGGTCTGGAGCACAAGTCCTGCAAGGAGCAGGTGATGGAGCTGAGGGTGTTTAGCCTGGAGGAGAGGAGGCTTAGGGGAGACCTTATCACTCTTTGCAACTGCCTGAAATGAGACTGTGGCCAGTTTGGCRTCTGTCTCTTCTCCCAGGTGCCAAGGGATAGACGACGAACTGGCTTCAAGTTATGCCAGGGAGGTTTACATTGGCTATTAGGACAAACTGCTTCCTTACAAGGGTTGTCAAGCATTTGACCACGCTGCCCAGGGAGATGAGTTGAGTCTCCATTCCTGTAGGTATTTAAAGGATGTGTAGCTGCGGTGTTCATGACATGGATGGGCTTGGCATGTTTAGTGATGGGCTTGGCAATGTTGTATCCAATGTTTGGATACAATGAAATTACGGGTGTTTTCATACTTAAATGATACTATCTTTTGGAACAAATATTGTATTACACCTCTTTTGCAACATCCTTATGGTTTTTTTTTTTCTGTCTCCTAGTCCACTGAAAAGCTGACTTGACCATCAAGTTAAAGCATAACATACATCATTGATACATATGAAAAAAACTGTAAAACTGAAGCAACCAAAACTGCTTATAAAGAAAGTACCTTGTTTAACGTGAAGTGGATGAAGGATGTCAACATTGTGTGGAGGAAAGATATAGAGCAGCTGCTTTGTGAAATAAGCAGCCATGAACCGTGCCATGGATTGAATCACAGCCATGGCAGTCTCAGTATGAATGCTGGTTACCATCCATAGTTCATGCTGAAAATACTTGGTGTCTGAAAAAAAAACCAAATTATAACATTATGTGAAAAAATATTTTGAATTTGAATGCTAATGAATAAAATAAGCATTGAACCCTATTGAATAAAATTATTTAATCGGAGTCTTTTTGAAAGGAGTCACGAACGTAAAGTGATTATACAACATAAGAAGCAAACATGTAATTTCTTGACAAGCCTTCAGAACTTACAGTGCTTAATTTTTTATACTAATTACACATTATAATAATATTAGAAGACCTTTATACTAGGTTTTTAATGGCTGGCGATGCACCCCTAGAATCCAAATTTAGACTAGCACTGAGTCAAAACCCCACTTGTTTCAACTTGGAAATTCAKATTTCTCTTAGATTTAGACTTAGCGGAAAAAAAATTTACACGCATCTGCAAAAACATTTCACTGTCAAATTAGGACTGATGACCAAACTAAAATCTGCCATTTCTTCATGTTGTATCATAAAAAAGTTAAATTAATATAAAATCAAATCACATCATTTCCCCCTAATTTTTCTTATCCAAAGTCTTTCCTTGAGAGGATTTGAATCTAAAAATATTCAACATGGCACTAGTAGTCATTAAGAGTTGTCTAAATACATATTCCAACAAGTGCAGCTGTAATATCATCTGAGGATCAGAAAACAGTCTTTAGAGTCACTGAAAACACTGYAAAGAGAAAAGCATCAAATCTGCATGTGAGTGCACAGAAAGTAGACACTAGGTTACTCAAACAGTATCAGCATACCTTATCACACTTTTAGGCAACATAAACATACCAGAAAATTTTTCCATCTGATTTGTTGAGAGCTGTGATCGCCTTAGAATTTCTCTCACCAGATGATCACAGAGTCCCTGAGCTTCACATAAGTTATATTGATACAGGTGACAAAATAATATTGCAAGATAGTATCTACGCTGAAGTAAATATGCTCTTTTTCCTCCTGCATGAAAAGATTTTAAAAAGGCAGAAGTCCAGTTGGAAAAGAAACAATAAACAAAAACAGATGCAGCAAGTGAAAGTACTAGATCTTTCCTCTCCAGAGTAATATCTACATAAGATACACTTTGAGGAGTAGAAATCAGGAGCAGTTATTTTAGGACCTGATTCTTCTATACAACCTCTAATTCCCTAGTAAGTTAATGCTCATCCACAACATTTTACTTCTAGAGATACGGCAGTTTTCAAAACAGTACTATGCATAACTGTTAAGATACAGGCGAAGATAGGAGAGCTTAAGGAAGCCTTCAAAGTACAGTGGAGTTCCTTAGACATCCACCAAATTTCCAATATTCTTAACATTTGTCCTCAATGAAGGGGGAAAGAAATTTTTTTCCTCATTCTAATAACCAGCAAAAAATTCTCACATGATGCCTGGTAAAAGAATCCTGTATGCTTGTTACAAAATTCTTACAAAAACTCCTCACAAAAGTTTTATTTTATTTTCTGAACTCTAATTATTTTCATTTTTCAGCTATTAAATGAACTTATTTTTGTTTAGCTGTTTTTCATTGTCTCTTTCTTGCCCACAAATATATCTAGAGCTTTTCTGTACCAAGTACTTCATAATCACAAGAAGGCTTTGATATTAAAATAGAAATTCACAGAATTCTATTAAAATAGAATTTTCCCAGAGAGTAACCAGACCTAAGTTTTGACAGGTCTCTATTCATCCCATCCTAACTTCAGATATGCATCCTTTATGTGTCTCATGGCCTCTTTTTGAAAGGAGTCACGAATGTAAAGTGATTATACCACTTAACCCTTCCACCCTCAAAGATTTTCTCTCTTACCTTTTGTCTTCAGTTCACAAAGAGATCTTTTCCAAATGTCCACAGATTCTCTGTATGAGCCTAAAAGGAACTGCTCCTCACCTATAAAAGTCACATATTAAGAAATTAAAAGCTCTACATAGCTATTTTTACATGTACAAACACATATGATCTTATTTCAGTATCACATATGTAATGAAAGCAGAATAAAATATGTGAGCTCACAGTATACTTCTATTCTCACAATTAAGTCTAAGTTTTGAGCATCTGAGAGAAGATGACTTTGAATACTCTTCCCCAGGACAGCTAATGTATTAGCTCACCTCCAGAAGGAGCTAATGTATTGYATGGAGTGCTGTAGAAAGTGAAGCTAGAAATGTCATTTCAGGGAGAGAGATCAAAAATATGGCAAGGAAACAGAATAGTAGAGGGAGACATAAGTGGGAAGCTGAGCTTATCAGGGTATAAGTCAAAAGGAAGGTTGAACATAGGACAGTAAAGTGTAAGGAATTAGGCTACAACTACATACTGTTCAGAAAATAAATATGCTAGATTAAGTCAATTACTTTAGATTACACCAATTTAGAGGCTTAGTTGATGCTGACTACGTCTGTGGATACAACATGCTCATGACCACAATGATCACATGGAATGAACAAGATTTCTACACAGAAATCCAATCAGAGGCATACTGTGATACCCATTATTTCAGAAGAAACAACACAGAACAAAGGAGATTGGAATTAAAATCTTCCATTCAGTTTTTTTAGGATATGGCTTAAAGCAAACTGAAGTAAATTCAGGTTTTTTTATTTAGCTCAACAAGTTCTCAAGATGATAATACAATCTACAGGCACACCAGGAAAATAAATATTTAAGACAGAGTTCTGATAAGAATTTTAAGGTAAGTCCCAATGTTCACTTTTTAAAAACCTGGTAGTCAGGCACTGATTGTTATTAAGTCAGACCTAATTTTCTTCATTTTCAATTAACATCTGTACTCACCAGATACAGAATTAATCTTCAGATGTTGTTCTAATGTCACTCCTGAAGACTGGATGATTGCTTGTATATGACTTAAAAGCAACGACACAACAGAAGTCTCTTCTGCATTCTTGTTCACTGCTCTTTTCAGCTGCACCTGATACCACACCACTTTCTTATATAATAGTCGCCATAGTACAGTTAACCTATAATTCAAGAAGTACAATATTATGAAATCAAGCATGAATCAACAAACTAGCTTACATCAATTTCTTACTTTCTTTTATTTTATATGCACCTGAAAATTAAGTTGTATCAACTACTTTCTTCACTTCAGTGAGAGGAAAAAATGAAAAACTTTTTGTCTTGTTTTGGACTTACAAACATTGATTCTTCTGAATTTTCTTAAACACAGAAATCTATGTTAAAGACTTAAACAACCCCAAAATTAATCCCCTCGCTAGTTAAACAATGGGGAAATTGAATAATCTCAGACAGAGAACCACAAAACAGGTATACAGAATCTTTATGAACAAGACGATTAAAACTGATTAAGACTGATTAAGACTGATTAAAAACACCATTCAAGCATAACACAGAAAAGCAAAGATAGGAAAACAAGACTGAGCATAGTTTTAGGGCTGGCAAGCCTCTGTTACCTAGCACAGYCCTATTAGATTTATCAGCTCAGATATGTAACAAGTTTAACAGTAAAAGCAAATACACATTGTTAGAGACTTGAAAAAGCTTGCATGAAACTACAACACATCTGTATCTTCAAGTACTACTGGGTTCATAATTAATATATAGAGGCAGTTACATGCACATTGCTCAGCACCTGGAACAAAATTTATCAAAAGCACGGATTATCTTCTCAGAGACAACTGAAACWTGCATATCAGATTTGCAATAAATCCCTATATCTAGGGATTATTGAAGAAATACCTTTGACTGTAATAGGATTAAATTAGTGAGTCATAATGCTTCTTAGTTTTTAAATTTCTGGAAAWGAGAAGCCTACCCATGTGAATAATATACTTTGGTTCATTTGAGTTTTGCAGTGTGGAAATACTCCAGTGATATCAGTATACTTTCCAAAAGCTGGACAGCACACTTAAATTTAAATGTCTTTCAAGTTTATGTGTATGGAASAAATAGCTCTGATGGTTTAGTAAGTTTCCATAAATGGGTTTTTCTTATTGCTGTGAGACATCACATCCATAATGAACGAAACCCTTGCTGACTAGACTGACACTGTTGACATATTGCATATGAGCAGACTCTTGCTCCGTAGAGTTTGAAATTGGGAAAGAATGAATGTGCAAGAGGCAGTTAAAGMATCTGAAGTTTTTAATACCTGGACTGATGCTGCGCTACTGGGCCTGGTGTGAGCTGTCAACCCTTCAGTTATCTCCTAACTGAACTGCAGTGGTAATTTAGTCACCATAACTAAACTATATTCAACTATAAGACTGGGCCTTAATCTGTATTCTTTAATTGGTTATCATTCCTTTCCATGAAGCAAAAGGCAGGACAAAAAACCCAAAGAATAATGCAATTATAGTTTAACTCCTACAATTTTTGTTTCCTCATATAGAACCACTTAGGTCACAAAACAYCCATAAGTTCATTAATGGTCCAACCATTAACATTGTCAAGAACATCTCTAAATCATGTCCCTGGACATTACAGCTACCCATCCTTTAAACAGGAAAGGAGATTTAATCCACTTCCCCAGCCAGCCTGGTCCAATGCTTGATAGCCCTTTCAGACACCGTGGGGCCCAGACCTGGACACAGAACTTGATGTGTTGCCTCACCAGTGCCAGGTACAGAAGAACAGCCACTTCCCTGGTCCTGCTGCCAGGATTCCATTGGCCTTTGTGGCCACTTGGGCATACTCCAGCTYATGTTCAGCTGCTATCAACCAGCACTCCCATGTCCTTTTCTGCTGGGCCAGGCACTCTACCCCAGCCTGTGGTGCTTCCTGTGGTTGTCATGACCCAAGGGCAGGACCCGGCCCTTGGCCTTGTTGAACCTCAGCCCATTGGCCTCAGCCCACGGATCCAGCCTGTCCAGATGCCCCTGCAGAGCCTTCCTGCCCTCCAGAACATCAACACTCACACCCAGYTTAGTGCTATTTGTGAACTGACTAATGGTGCTCTCCATCCCCTCATCCAGATCACTGAAAAAGATTAGTCAGGCTGGACCCAGCATTGAGCCCCAGGGAACACCACTAGTGACCAGCTGCAGCTGGACGTAACTTCATTCACCACCACTCCCTGGGCCTGGCTATCAGCCAGCTSTTAATCCAGCAGAGGACTCCTGTCCAAGTCAGGAGCTGCCAGCTTCTCCAGGAGAAAACTGTGGGAACCTAYGTCAAAGGCTTTACCCAAGTCCAGGTAGACAATATCCACAGACTTTGCTTCCAAGTGGGTCACCTGTCACAGAAGACCAGGTTGGTCATGCAGGATCTCTCTTTCATAAACCTGTGCTGGCTGGGCCTGATCACCTGGTTTTGCGCTACATTTTTTTCCCTATGAAAAGATTATTCATACCTTTTTTCTGTTTTTGTGTCATGGTTTACTTGAGGAGGCTCTCCAAGCAGACATTTCAGTGACCTGAATTGCTGAGTAGTATTGTCATCAAGAACTAAGAAAAGAGGCACAGTGAGGGAGTCAAGTTCCACAAGAATGTTACTATCAGGAGATGCACAAAAATTCTCATACTGTAGAAYACACACTCTACTTAGTGTGTGAGAAACCATTTTCAAAAGACAGAAGCACGCTAAAAGGTTTTTTGAGTACAACTGATCCTGTTTCTGTATAAGCATCTGTTTTAGAGTTCCCAGTGTCAGCTCTGCCAAATGCTCAGTCACACTGGCTCTTGAATGCCAGTATAAGGCAGTCAAACACTGCTGAAAATATTTCAGGACACAATGCATCCATTGAGTGTTCTTCACAGACTTGTTTAAAGATGCATCCTGGTTTAGCAAAGTACATTTCACAAACTGAACAATGCTCAAAAAATGGATAATGCAGTTCACTGTGTAACTCAGTAACACATCTTTGTCTTCCATGTTTTTTGAAATCCCTATCTGCCATGCAGCAAGGAGGTTCTTCTGAACAGAATATAGTTCCAATGAAGATTTATCTTCCTCTTCAATATCATCTTCTGCATGGATGGTATCAAACATTGATGCAAATTCTAAGGCGCCTTGATCAGCTTGACCAACAAATGAATGGATTCTTTGGTTATAGAAGCTGGAAGGGCTACTGCAAAGCTGCTTTTCATTGTCTGATTCTTCTTCATGGTCCTAAATCAGACAAGCAAAAAGTCAACAGTTTAATTCAAGCTTACTATGAGAGAGAGAGTGGAAAGAACACAGACTAAGGAATCACCATTTAGTCAGTCTCACAAATGAAATTTTTATGCCGAATTACCTTGCTTAAATGCTAGTACATTTAATAAACTGCAGTTTCATCTCAATRTCAAATTAAATGTAGTTCTTTGCAAAATAGTTGGGCAGAGAGAAATTAAATTACCTAACCATGAAATTACACTGTCAGTACAGCAGTAGATTTTATATCAGAAACCCTGTCCTTCATTAAGCCTAGACTACAAGACAGAGATTTTGCCAGATACCTGTAAGATAGGAAAGCTATTCAACAAAAGCTCAAAAGCTTCAAAGAACAAACCAAAACCCAAAAGCATTAAATGAAGATGGGAAAGCCTGCACAGTAACTATGACCACAGGGCAACTTTTCCAAAAGACACATACAAATTTTGGAATTGATTAAAGAATCCTCTAAAATTGAGGATAAAAATAAGTATCTTACTCAATAAGGAGAACACAGTTATGAAAATACTCTACACTCCCACTATATTTAATAGCTAATATTACATTTTATTTTAAAGTGAAGCTAAAGTATTAGGTCTCCAGGGAGACCTTACACCACCATTCATTACATAAAGGGGGCTACAAGAGAGCAGGAGAGAGGGTTTTTATAGGACATGTAGTGATAGGACAAGGGGCAATGGTTTTAAAATGAGAGAGGGCAAGCTTAGATAAGATGTTATGCAGAAATTCTTTACTGTCACAGTGCTGAGACTCTGGAACGGGTTGCCCAGAGAATTGGTGGCTGTCCTACATCTGAAGGGTCCAAGAYCAGGCTGGATGGGGCTTTGAGTGGCCTGGTCTAGYGGAAGTTGTCCCTGCCCCTGGCAGGTGGTTGGAACTGGAYGATTCTTAAGATCCTTCCAACCAAAACATTCTATGTATTGAATATATATAAATTGATATATATATATTTGTAGATTAGAACACATTCTTCAAAAAGTGAATACATGCTGAAAGAGACAATATGCTTAAAAATAAAAATCAAGTATCAGTGTAAGAAAAATAAGCATATTCCTCACACCTATAAAGAAAATTTAACCAATATTGTATTATTTTAAATACATCTAATAAGAGCAAATAAAACTATATTATCTTGAAAAACTCAACTTACTGTTACTTCCATTTAGAATACCTTAAACTTATATGATTTCACAATGTTAAGTGGAAAAATGCTAAGTACCAGTAAATCCATGGTTTTCTCATTCATTTCTGTTGTGTCCTCCTTCAGGAATCTCGGAATGGTAGAAAAGATAGAACTTTGATTTTGAAATTGCTTTAAAAGACTAGCTTTTAAAGACAATAGTGATCGTAAATACCGAGATCTCTCTTTAGACTAAAAAGAAATAACAAATAATAGAAAACATAGTATCAGTTTCAAGCAAGACAGATTCTTCCTAAACAAGTCAAGGAAATCGGCTACTGATGTAAAATGCTTCAGTTCAAATGTCCCAGACAAGCAGGAAGAACAGGTGAGCAAGCATCTGTTGCACAGAAACAAACTATCATTTGACCAAGCTTCGGGGAAGCAGAATTCTCTGACACCAGACAACTTTAGTTTGCTTCATACTGAAAAAATCTGCTTTCTTGATGCCTGAAAACACCCTAGAAATTTGCCTATAYGTAGCATTTTCTTGCATTTGTACTAGGAACATATCTCTTTATATCCTCAAATCCTTGCTCACTATTCTAGCTTATGCAGGAACACCATGATAGCTCACATCTCCACAAATACAGAAGAGAAACTGAATTGGAAGGGAAGTTGTATTCTATYAGCAAATGCAAAATTTCTGAACATCTTATGTGGTTGGCAACAGTTGCAGGACCTCATCCTTCAATAGTTTTTCTTCTCCCAGACTTAGCTCAATTTAGAAGCGACACAAAATTCAACAAAAATGCTTTAAGTATGCTTTAGTTGCCACTCTTCACTAAAGATCTAGTGGAAAAATGTAGGGAGCACCATTGGGACTAAAGCATAGAGGATTTACAGAATTCTTTCTGCATCATTCTGAAAGAGTGAGTTGGTCACAGTAGCATAAAGGCCTGTCAATGCTCTGAATCAACTCTACAGGTGTAGAAATCCCTGTTTCTTATAGTTCCATAAAAAATAATATAGTGGCAGTTCAGACTGTCCCACTCACTACATTTACTGAAATATCACCCAGACATCTAAAGAATAAAATGTCAGGAAAACTGACATTTTAATCCTGAATAAAATGTCAGGAAAACATTGTTTTGCAGCTGCACACTTATTCATATACATGAATTTTTTTACTTAAAGCCTACAAAATATTTCATAACCCTACCTTGAAGTTCAGCAAATTCCGACGGATATTTTCAAGCTTTTGGGTTGAATCAAGTAAAAGGGATCTTACAAATCCTGATGGTGAAAAGTTATTAGGAAATCTAAGCAGTGTTATCATGTATCCGTCAGAGACAATGAGGTAGGGTAGTCTTGGATGTGAAGCAACAGAAAATCTCTGTCTCATAGGGTCACGTTCAGAATCTGAWGAACCAAGACATTGGCTGGAGTCTTGACAAAAAGAGAGGTGCTGTCTAGAACAGAGATACATAAAAAATTAAGAAACAACTATCCTATGAAATAATCATGAACAGAATAACTTCAGAACATTTAGTACCATGCACTCTACTGTCCAAGTAAGTCCTTTGAGGGACCCAGGAAAGAGTCTAAACTTTTGCATGATGAGCACTCAGGACAACACTGTGCTTGCCAGATGACAGTATTTTACTACAGTACCTTTTATTTAAATGAATTAAAATTATTTTTCAGTTTYCACTTACTATTTCATTAGTGTTAATTGTATTTTTTTGTAATTTGACTTCAAATTTCTACATTGCACTTTAACTAGCCCTTATGTGCTATGACAAATGCTTAAAGATGAAATTGTAAGGGTTAGGCTAAAAAARTCATATATGAAAGACAAAAAATGCCTGAAAATCTCAATCTTATGATTTCAGCATCAATTCAGATATTCAAAAAAAAATTATACAAACACACAAGTCTTCTTTTTCAAGAAGATCTTTCTTATACAGAAACCCTCCTGAGTTCCAGAAAGCTGTGCRATATGTCTTCTGATATTAGCCATGTAACACATTGCAGATGTTTATTTGAAAAAGAAATAGCTGCATACATTCAATATATCATCATAATTTATGTATTTTAATACATTTTAGTGTCTGATTTTTCAACCAGATAGTGTAAGAAGGTAGTATAATGCTTTGAAAGTCTTAATGAGGTGTTATATTTACATACCATCTGGTTTAAATCATACAAAATATAAGATTTAAAAAAAAAATAATTAAAGTTTAGATTCTATTTTGTTTTCACTATTTAGACTCTATTACTTTGAGTTTATGCTAAAGTGTGTTATCAAAGATCCTTCTACTCTCTARTGTACTCAGCAGCACAATCTCAGAATTTAGACCTGGAGAATCCCGAGACAACACTTTAAAAACTAACTGGATTCTGTCCATGCAAATAAGCTATTTACAATATCTTAGAATATCTTACGTTAAATTCTATAGGTAAAATAAACAGTGAGCAGAGAAATAGCACTGGATCAACTTGCACTTTTAGTATATCTGTAAGTTTAATATCTTATATCATAAAAACATGCTGATTTTAATTATTAGTAAATACAAATAGTTGTAGAAAAACAAATCACTATGTATACTTACATTGTCACAATGTCAATTTTCATCACGACAAACGCATTATAAGAAATAGAAGAGAACTATGAATGAGAAACAGATACTGGAAAGACACATGAAAAGCAATAGAGTGAATTTGAAAGATTACATTTATGCAAAATTATAATAAATATGATAGAAAGTAAGGTAAGACCATAAGACAGAAATGAATAAACCTTTTCAAACCCTTTTACCTGTATGTTATTAGTGGATGAAATGGAATAAACTGTGCTGGTCCAAATTCTACTGAGCATCCAGAAGCAATTAATGTCAGCAATTCACCCATACAAGTCAATAAAATCAAAGATCCACGTTTTAACATGCAAGCCAAGAAAAGGCTATCTGGAGTCCAACTCATATCACCAACCCAGTAAGATCTAGATTGGGCAGGTAAAAAAAAAAAWTTTCTCTGTCAAATTTCTGCTTCAGAGGGCTAGGTTAGTTATAAAACAAATAAACAAACCAAAACACAAAACCAAAAAATGCACAGCAGCAGCAGAAACAGCATYAGTTACTGACCTGATGAACCTGGATGGGGTCATGTTATTCTTGCTACTACAACCTTTAAGGCTACCCGAAATAGTTACAAAATTCAATGTGTTTAAAAACAAAACCTGAGTTGCCTAGAAAGAAAAATAAAAGTAAAGACATCATAAATGTTAGTATCAAAATGTCATTATTGTAAAAAAAGCCTACTACTAACTTATACATAATATTTGGTGTACTGGTAATATTATTTTAATAAAAGTGATATTGCACTTAAATATTTATTACTATTTGAAAATTTATTAAATTCTACACCTTGTTGTACATTTGAAAAATAACTGAGGAGTATTATACTTAATGTATAATTCAATATTCTTCTTAACATAACTTTTCCTAAAACACTAAATATACTATCACTCTTCTTTAGTATTGTTGGTAATTAACAACTGGAGCTTTGAAGGACTGCATTGTCCAAACCTGATATATTGAGCAAGTTGGTCCATGCTCCCTGTCATCTTTAGTCTTAAAAAGTACATTACAATTTGATCTCTAAGTTGTTAAAAGGAATAACATTATGAAGTGGGAATTCCAAAACACGTTAAGCTGAGGCTTGACTGAGAATCACTGAGAATCTTTGCAGACACAATGAAGTAACTGAAATCAATTTCTTTATTACTGCAGTTTAGAAATGACAGAGGATGTTATACCAACTTCTAACTGAACACCACATTCRAAAAATTGAGTTGTAGTAGACATTTTAACTATTAATGTAATTCCAGGTCCCCTTGTGAGTGCTGACAAATCATCCTAAAACTGTGTTTTAAAATGCTTGTTACCACTTCATTCAAACTGAACTCTTAGCTTWAATGATATGCTGTCATACATACCTTTGGATCAGCTTGATTAACAGCKACTGCAAGCAAAAGTCCATCTCCTGCAAATGCACATAGCAGAGCTCCCCTGGACTTTACAGACACACACTGAGGAACCAAATTAGCAAGAGAACAAGTCTGCTGTACCCACTGGACCTGGTATGGCAAAGAACTGAATACCAACAAAAAGACAACAAAACCAAGCAAGTGGTTACTCCATTATGCTGAATGGGATGATTCATGTATAGTAAAAAAACATACAAGATAAAACCAAATACAGCATGAGCTATTAAAAAAAATGAGACAAAAAAAAGTTTTTTCTTCAAATGCCTTACCAATGACAAAAATATTTTGTATTTACTCAAGTTTAAAAATTATGTTTGAGCATTAAGAATTCTTTTTTAGGGGCAGGAAGTTGGGCTATAACTCTAGAACATGCAAATAATTATTGATCAATGACATATGAATGAGACACTTGCATTCTAGCCAAGAAGAGAGTCCTCAGATGTAACACCATCCAACACAGGAATAATCAGAATTTGAAAATCAATAGTATGCTGCTCTGAACAAAAAAGCTGTGGATGCCCTATTACTGGAAGTGTTCGAGGACAGGCTGGTTTATACTTCCAGCAACCTGATCTAGTGGAAGATATTCCTGCCCATGGAAGAGCAGTTAGTCTATGCGACCACTGCAAGTGCCTTTCAAGCCAAACCATTCTGTGATCCTAAAAAGATTCATAACATGACAGAAAACACAATAAAGTTTCTGTCTTGAAGTATGCCACCTAACTGACGGAAAAAAAAAAGCATTAACATGAAAAAATTAATTAAACAATAGCAAGCAACGAWACTAAGCATGGGTTGGCATAAGAAAATAAAAGTGAGAAGATGTCTCAGAAATTTAGTTACAATTTCAGCCTGCAATTACTKTGTATAGGCAGACAGACAGATACATAGATAGGCATTTCTGCACTGGGTATGTTATGTTCTATTTCACTTTTATATTACCAGAAGGGTATTACCATGCCACTGATAAACTGAAGATTAGGTTAGGTCAAGGAGGACATCATTACAAAATCAGTATCAAAAGGACATCATGTAACAAAAGCATTTATACCATGTCAAGTGTAGAGCAAAATTTTAGCAAGTCATTCAAATAATACCTGCAGAAGACATATATATCTATGCGTTTAAATGGATATGTCACTTAGGAAGAGGAATGAACTATACATGTGCTCCAGATTATTAATCAATTGCATTTTTAAGTGGTTGTATCAATATAACTATTTCAGTACTTGGTCCCARCCCAGATAAAGAAACGAACATGCACACTTTGACATTGAGCAGAAGAAATGAAATGGGCAACAGGAAACAAAACATGCAAACCTGCGTAATAAAGAAGAGGAAGAGACAGTCAGGGCATTCATTGCTGCACAGTATAAGAAATGTAAGAAAATTTAAGATGCATAAGCAGCGCAGGAAAAAAACAAGAAAAATACATTCCATTATCATTATGCAAAAAACTATGACCTAAAACAGATACGTATCAACAGATGTAAGCATACATAGCTACCTGCATAGAACAATAAGTATGCTCTGTTTTATCTAGGTATAAGCTAGTAATGAAGTATGGAACGCATAAATAAATGCTGTTACGTTGAACACATTTTTCAAGGGACATGTAAAGGAGTGAAAAATGGCTTTAAACTGACAGARGGCATGCATGAACAYACACATATAAACATAAGTGGGTGCTTGTAACCAAAGACTAGTTGGACATCCATGTAAACATATTCAGTCTCTGAATCCCAACTCTAAAAAAGAAATACAATGTTCATGAAGATGTTGTAACTTCAGCTATCTCGAACTTACCTAACATCTTTAAAGGTATTTTCGTGCCACCGAAGAACCAAAAACGTGAGCACCAAACACTCGCCAGAGTAAAATACAAAGGAACATAAACAGCAATCACCCAGTACCTGTAAAAGAAGAGGAAACAATCAAAATAATCCCAAAAAGCTTGTCACACACAAATTTCTCTTTTATTATCTATTTAGATCAATAGATATTACAATGAAGATTAATAACACAATGTTGTCATTCAGAAATGTAAAGGCTGGCAAGAATATTAGAAACTCTGATCTGATTCAGTATGGCAGTTCTCATGTTGTCATTAAAAGTAACATGAACTGAATTATTAAGCCTACACACAGTGCCATAGAGGAAAACATTGCTTGCAAAATTTGCTGTAGCTTCTGTGGCTCTAATTTAATTATTAAATTATTGCTTTAGGGCTTATTTTTTACCTCATTTTGTATGAAAGCAGCATGCACTCCAATTTCTTTTTCTTCAGTAGAAGGCAATATGACTGATTCATCAGGTAAAATTTGTGTCCAACGCCCAGAAAAAGAGTTTTTACAAGGGACCGTATTCTCATGTTCTGTGCTCTCCCACAAAAAGACACATGCTGTAGGAGTAGTTAATAGTACCTTTCTCCCATCTCCAGATACATACAAGTACAACCTCATCAAACATTCTGGAGAAAAAAAAATAAACATAACATATGTGCCATAATTCTTTCTGTTCCTTTGTCAGAGACAGAATGAAAAAGAATAGAAAAATGAAATTTCTTTTCTTGTCTGTCACAAGGAATCCAAGCTGCCATGTTAAATATCTTCCATGTCCAGCTTCACCACTGATAGAAGACCTTGGGCAGCAGTGATGTCAGAGGGATGTTAATCTCTATGAATCCCAGGAATCACCCTTCYGACAACACTCAACCATTGGAGATGTTTCCTGAGATCGTCTAAGTGTTCTACTATTGTTTGCTTTTATTACTTACTGAAGTATACTACTGATCTTCCCTGAAATAAGAGTATTTCTTGTGCAGCACTTAACTTTACAAGCTGGTATCAGTGATGTCATCATCACTGGCAATATTTCATAATTTCATACAAGGCAATATTTCATAATTAAGTTCACAAATACATGCCTTTAGTTTATTCTCTTCAGCTAGCATTTGTCATAAAAGCCCACCTAGAGAACAAGCTTCAAATTATCCACACACTGTTTACATCAGATGTACATMCATGTAAAGTATTGGTAACCTAGTCAGGAATGCTTTTCTACAGCAAAAAAAATAACTATTAAAAATACAGTATTTGAAAATTAACTGTGTACAGGGGGGTTACTAAATGCAAAAACTTGTACCATTCACATGAMAAAGGGCATTTGCAAAGTTTAGCTAACATATAAACTATACAAATTCAAAACAATGTGAGAATACAGTTTTTACTCATGTAAGAATTTATAAAGAAAGGAAAACAGCTTTCCCTCTATTTATTTTTTCACAGGATTAATTGAAAAAACCTACCTTGGGCAGCTGCTACTACTTTCTTGGACTCTTCAATTGCTGGTACAATTTTCAAGCAGTCCTGATCTTTATTCCAAAGAAATAGCTCTCCTGTTGTAAGTATTCCTGCCAACCAAGCAGCTGTGTTCATTGGGGGAGAGAAGTTTTGAAGGATATTACTTWGAAATACTTAAAATTACTTCTCTTCCATCTTGGCCACAGTTTTAAAGCTGACAGTGAACTGGCAGATCCTTTAGATATCTGCCTTTCTAGACAGTTACAAATACAAATAAAATAACCTGAGTTTATAATACATAAGATATGATACTTAACCATTTCCTGATGTTGTTAAGACAACCACATTTTTCAACAATGACTGCAGAGAAGGGATTTTCTTCTTCGTCTTCCCTGATGCCAGGTTAATTTCATTTATATATTTACCATCTAGAAGAAAAATAGCCTCTTTTTCCTATTGAAAGAACAAAAGAGGATTTAATTTTTCAAAATGTTATTTTCTACACAAGTCTGCAAAATAATGCGGAGATAAAAAATACTAGGGGGAAAATAATTWAAAAAAATAATAAGAGCAGCAAATTGCCATACTAACTTTATTCTCTGGCGTATTTTCTTTACAATATACCATATCTGGCATGGATCTACTGTGATGATGAATGATTCACAGGTTTCAAACTACCAAACTGATTTTATAGCCATTAGTAAAAAGTTATTCAAAATACCTCTAGTAAACTACCTGCTAAAAATGACAAAAATAGTAATTAGCTATCTTGTCTTGTATCATTTAATCTAGTGAGATAGATGGCAGTGATTTCAATAGAAAAAAAAAAGAGAGAATCAGCCTTAAGTTGATACTTATTTAAATTCAAATACTAGAAGAAAAAAAATTTAATCTGATTCTATCAAACAAATCTAAGAAAGTATGTCTTTCAACAGAYGGAGGATGCAATGGGGAAAAAAGAATTGTTCGCATTTCCTACATTGCTCTGCAAAAAAACTTAAGAAAAACTAGAACCATGAAAATTGCAATCTCATCTGTGGTTGCATCTTTGAGGTAGGAAAACAAAAATGCTCTGCAACGTTTCTCTGAGCAATTTTGAATCTCCAGCCTCACATCAATAAGATAAAAGTAATTTATTTTTATAACTCTTAAGGGACACTCAAACCACTTTCTGAAGTTGTTTTTACACYCTCTTAAAACAAATGGAAATGCAAAATATTATACAATTAAAACACTTCACAGAATTTTGTATAAAGAGTTCATTACACTTACCTGTCCAATCCATGATATGCGAGGCCATGGTTTTCTATGCTTGATACACTTCGAGATGAGCACATCTAGCTTAATCTCCATTCTTATTAAACTTCTAGGTAACCATTATATAGAAAAGCAAATAATGGCTTTTCCGCACTTTTATAGAGAAACTGAAGAAAGAAAATAAACAGACCAGAAGTTTTTGTTATCTGAAAGTGGGAGCAGAGGAGAGGAATGCAGACGCAAAGTCTTGACTATCTATAGCAGCTTCCTGCTAAACACAAAGAGAACCGATGCTTACCCGTACTTCCAAACTATATTTTCGTTGGGACAGCCCAGAGGTGATGCGCTGCTCAGCTGCGCGAGTTATCACACGCTCGCTCCAAAGGAGTTGAGAGAAGCCGCAAGACAAAGTATGTTGCTAAGAACTCCAAAAACGCACAAGACGAGGAAAACGTCCTATAGCCTTCTTTGATGGGAGATGAGGAACTCCAGGGGCAGGGGCGCGGGCCTGGAGCCGGGCCAGACGCTCACCCCAGCGCGAGGAGCAAGGGKSGGCACAGGCTACCCCCGCCGCCCCYGGGCGCCATCCGTGGCAACCCGCGCTGCCCGTGCCCGGCTCAGGGCGGAGACAGCCCCGGGGCGGACTCCTCCCCCGGCCAGCGGGAGGAGCCTTAGTGCGCGCACAGACCGCGGCTCGCTGGCCGGAGCCGGGGCGCTGAGGGAGCCCGGCCCCGCCGCCCCACCGCGCTGCCGCAGCCGCCGGGCCGGGCTGACCCAGAGCGCAGGCGCAGCCCCGCCCCGCAGCTCCCGGCGCGCATGCTCAGCACACGCCGCCTCTCAACGCGGCCGCTTGGGAGCCTCGCTCACCGCTCAGAGAGCCGCCCGCATCCGCGGCTGCATCTAAAGCAGCGTGACCAGGMTCACGGAGGGAATTCGGCCTCTCTGCTCTGGTGAGACAAGCGGTATCCCTCAGGGCTCTATATTGGGATCAGTATTTAATATCTTCATTAACGACAAATGGATCAAGTACACCATCAACAAGCTTGCAGATGAAGAATGGGTCCATGGGAATCTCATKAAGTTTATCAAGAACAAAAGCTGGGGCTCCCTCTGGAATCAGCCCAGGCTGGACATGAACAGATCAGAGCAGCCCTGCCCAGAGACTTGGGGGTGCTGGATATTCCCTGGCCACAGTACTCACAGCCCTGAGTTTTGGAGAGCCAAACGTGTTCTGGGCTGCATCCAGAGCACCATGGGCAGCAAGGGAGGGGATTCTAGGAATGTATACAATTTGGTGTTTGTATGCATGTAATAAAAGTAGACAGAAATTTTTTTTTACTTGTTTATTTGATTTTAACAGATACAACATATTATTAAGATAAAACAAGGAAAAGAATTTGCTTTTCCCCATTATGTAAAGCAAATAAAAAGAAAATACTTTCAAATATTCTTTATCCCCATGGCAAAGATCACACAATGTATTTTATTTCAACAGTATAAAAAAAAGCTTTCTATTGTTAAAAAACCTAGTAGTAGTAAAAGTAAAAGAAATTCCATTTGTCACATTTACATTCTACAATTTGTAGATACTTTTAGATAGCATGAATACAGGCCACACATTCAGTTACCATGGCAGGAGRAAACTCAGGATTTTTTTTCTGAGGATTTGTTTGTTCATAATTCAGTGCCAACATCTGAACCTTCATTACATTTCGTATTACCTGCACTAATGAWTCTGTTCTTGCATTAGACAATCAGTGAAGCCGCTCTAACTTGGCCTGCAGAGATTTAAAATTCCCAATAGTAGTTTGCACCATGAGCGTGGGACTCATAGACTGAAGTTCAACCAAATAGCAACTAACAGCATCCAAGCAAAAATTTGTGAATCGCCGCCTGCAAAGAAAATACAGAAAGACAACAAACTCTTTTTTAATCCCATATATTATTTACCTGAACTGGAATGTGAGCCTTCTAAGTTATAACAGAATAACAAATCAGTAWTACATCTGTTGGCTACTTTCAAATATTTAACTGTTTATTACAGAAATTYGTTTTTGAAATCTAATGCCCATGACTAAGGCATAATGGGAAAATAAATGACCCATTTGTATTTATCTGATATTAAATAAAAACTGTAAAGTACGATAGAGTTTATAGCAATGTGAAACATTTAGATACAACTTCAGATAGTATTACGGACAATGTGTAAGTTATTCATTTAGACAGCAATTTAAATGTCTTAATTTTAATCAAATTGAATTTATGCAATATCTAAGTAGATATTAAAATCAGAAAATGTTCACCAAAGTTCTAATAGTGTATTTAAATCAGCCAACCATAAAAGACCAATAAAGTGCTAAAAGAAGTAAACTGCATGTGAATATTTGAAAAATATGTGTATTTTTCAAAATAATAAGAAACATTTATGCTTAGAAGAGTTACCAACACTTTGCCTACTAGTTCTGCTTACTGTCTTTGACACAAGATAGTTCTGACTGAACTGGGCCTAGTCTCTTCAAACAGAACTTGTCAGAGCTAGAGATGACATGCAGGCCACTTTTTTGAGTACTTAGCTCTTTTTTTGCTAGACATATTTTCTAATATYACATCTAAATTTTTTCCTGACGTGAGTTAAACCAAATTTGTCTTGGAGACTGATTCATCATCAACCTCTTAAAAACAATTGGGGAAGATCCATCCCAATATTTAGGCTTTTCTTTTCCAGAGTAACTCTGAGCGCCTAGAACTTGCATACAAAACAGTTCACTGTTTCAATCACAAAATGCCTGATTCTCATTTTTCCCCACTTTTTACACATTGCCTTAGATTTGTCTGAACTAGTCCTTAAAGCATGTTGCCAAAATTTACAAATTAATCMTCTCAGTTCCTCATGCATCTTCAGTGAACTGAAGAAAATTACTTTTGTTGAAGTGGTTTATAAGGGAGTACTCTACCAGTTTTTACCAAATGGTTTTGAATGAGGAGTGTTAGAAACCACTGCTAGGAAYAAAATACTAAGTTCATCCAAAGAAGAAAAGCTTTGGGAATTGCTGGAGTGAAGTATTTTACAATATTTTACATGTTTTGCTATTTATTACAGTATTGTTGTTCCCTTACCTCATAGCCACTCTGCTTGGATCCTGTACATATCCTGATAGTAATACATTAATACACTCTAAGAGGTGTAAAGGCTTTTTCATTCTATTCCAAAATGGATCCTAAAAAAAAAAATACAAAGTATTAAAGATATAAATATTAAGGACACAAGACAAAGAAAAGTGTGTGTTGTGTACACCGATTGTCAGCTGTTACTATTATTTATTTATTGTATTAAATATGTAAGATAAATGGGAATTYTACCTTAAACTTTGTTGTCTATATTTAAATATTATTTTAAATTACATACTAAAACATACACGAATTTAACTCAGTTTTCCATCACCAGAGTAGTCAAATACTTTTGTATATTGCATCAATGGATCAGACAAGACGTAGTGTAAAATCCACAGATTTTATTCACTAAAGAAAGCAAAGTTTTGAATATAAATTTTGCTATATCCCTCCTCACATTCACATTTCCCACTAAAGCGAGATCTTGATGGTAGTTGAAATCARCATTTTTATTTTGTGCTACTTTCCTTACCCGTCCTTTGAACAGCTGGTCATATACTTCAAGGAGCCTTGGCAATGGCACTCCAATTTCTTGCATGGTGTATGTTACAAAACCTACATCCCAGTTCAAAGTGCAGACCTGTTGCTCTAGAAACTGCACTAAAAAGTCTGGAGAACAGAAACGAGAGAATATTTAGATTTCAACTTGTTAATGGTAGTCTATGAAAGAAAGAGATTTAGCAGTCATTTGCTATCAGAATGCATGCCAGGGATTACCCATGCTGAGTACTTTGTTACRGTTTTGACACACAGCCACTCTGTTAAGAAAAGTAACTTTTGTTTCTACACAGAACACATACTATCACTGCATTTGCTAGAATGGCCCACAAAACCACCAGCTCTTTAGMACCTGTAAGGATTAACAATGCATTGTTCAGCACTACAGGTTCATATTTAATCCTGTTGCACAACATTTTAGTATTATAAAAGATTATTTACTGCTGAACAATCAATTTTCTAGGTTTTTATATAATGCCATGTTGTCAAAATATGTGAGCATCAAAAAAGCAGAAATCCTCTAAAAATCCAGAAATCCCCTAAACTTCAGAATCTGCCCCTTCAGATGGCAGATGGTTTCTACAAAACTTCAAGAGACACCAGATACATATGCTTGATAAAAATCTTAAATGTGTAAATACATATTTTTACTTCATACTTCGATGCAAACAAACTTCACTGCTTTCTACAATGGGATCTGCAAAGCCATCCAAAACCAACTGCTGATGCCATCTAAACTTTATTTCCCATTTCTTTTGACATTAAAAAAGAGAGAAATATTTCTTATTTTAAAACATTTTTAAGAAGCTAAAAAAACCACTGAAACCCAYCCATCAAACACATAGGTTTATTTAATATACAGGTCAACAACAACTTGCCTAAAGGAAAGTAGCGAGGTGTGCCAGCATAGATCTTTCCAAGTAATGCCAGCTTCAGACAAAGTGCTTGCATTCTGTCAGTGGGGCTCAGGGATATACTGTCGCTCAACTCTGGAAATGAAAAGAAAACACACAGAACTGCAGGAAAAGTTCCACATTTATACAGAATGACACTGAGGTACCTAAATTTATAATCCGTATATGAACATCTTGCACTATTGTCAACGAAAATCAGCACATGGAAGTGAAAATACAACCTTTTCCGGTGTTTGCATGTAAATTTGCAARTTTTCATGCTTCCATGAAATTCCAATGAAATATACTTTAAAAAATCACAACMAAACAAAACCACATTCCAGAACCCYACAACAAACCAACAACCACACAGCTTTTCCTGTAGATCTCTATCAATGTTTGCACAGTGGCAAACTCRAGCCCAAAATCCAAGGGAAAAAAACCCCAATCAAAAGCAACAGGAAGAGAGAGTTAATTACTAACCCATGGTAAAGGATGAGAAAGATCATCGTAACTCCTAGTCCATTAAGACCTACCTTTTTCAATGATTTCTTGCCAGAGAGTTTGCACCARGATAGGATCAGAATGACCTGCACAATGTATAATTGCAAGCTTACACTCGGAGAGCTTAAAAGGGTCAGCAAATTCTCCATACAGCTGAAAGAAAAATTACCAGGCTTTACTTCTCATGTAGAATAAAATTAAATTTTAAAAAACAGTTGCTCACTATTTTGTGTGATAAACACAAATTGACACCAGTTACTTAACTGCCTATCACTAAACTTCTTTTTTGCTACATTTAGTTTCACTTCTTAAATACAATTCCACATTTTATAAGAATTTAAAACTAAAATTTAATTTTCCAACAATTTTTTTCAGCAGATGAAGAAATCTAGGAGACTTTATAATGACAATAAATATGTGAAAGAAATTAAAGTACTGAAGAATSAAAGATTATCAAAGTACAAAAAATGACAGTCCAGAGAAACAGTCTTTCTGAGACCAGGATGATAAAYTGCCTATTATTTTTCCCAGTCACCACAGGATAATTCTTGGAAAACTTTTTTCCCCCACAAAATCTGATAAACTGGATTTCAACACARGGAGATTTCAATTACCTTGGTTATATCCATCAGCTCAGCATCAAGCTGAGAGATTGCATCTTGTACTGAAGAATGATGGGA